TGGGCTGGGTTATTAGTGTGCGTTTACTCGTGGTCTCCACGCTAGTAGCTCGCGGAGAATCTGACACGGGCAAGTTACAGAAGTAGATAGCATGCGGGAGTCGATACATGCCCTTCATTGTGACTTCTTGTGCCTTCAAGATACAGAGCATGCCCTGCACGAGGTAAGCCTGTGCTAATTAGCATATTAGCTTGTTCACTTGGTTTTTACGCCATGACTTTGGAACACAGTATTTTTATGAAAATAGCCATTTTTTGAAATGAAGCTAGTGTAGCTCTGAACCTGTTGTTCTCACTTATTGGCCGGTTTGTTGGGCGTGGTGGCAGAAAACGTGGTAACAGACACACAAACAGACAGACAGATCAAGTACTGTAGCCCTCGCTGCGCATGCATGCCAAGGGTTAATGAAAAGCACTAAGGTGCAAACTCTCGGCTCACTATGCATGTGCGACATCGCTAATTGATGGGATGGGCTATCAGTATGCATTAACTCATGGTCTCCCGCTAGTATATAGCTCACGGCGGGACAGTCTGACACAGGCTAGCTAAACCTAGTTGATAGCATGCGGGAGTCGTTATATACACGTTTGTTGTGACTTCTCATGCCTGTGCCTCCAAGGTGTACAAAGAGCAGTTCAGTTCGTTATGCATATATGGTTTTTTGCTTGTTTTCGTGGCATATACATATCTCTCGAATTCAGGAAAATCACCATTTTTTTCCAGGTTCGCATGGAAGGGGTTGTGTTGATAATATTTATACGCTGAATGAACTCGTGCAGGGTAGACTGAAGGAAGGGAAGGAGCATTATTTCTAGATGTGCAGAAGGCATACGATAGTGTGTGGCGTAATGGCCTGTGGTTTAAGTTGTGGGAATTTAGGGTAAGAGGGAAGATGTGGAGGGTCATAAAGAAGATGTACCAGTATTCAAACAGTGCTGTATTGTTGGATGGGGAACGGTCAGAGGCATTTGATGTGGAACAGGGGGTAGCTCAGAGATGTCCAATTTTGTTTACCGTATTTATCAATGGGTTGTTGAGGGAGGTAGAGGAAGCTGAGATTGTTAAGTAGTGGTGGGAGACTTGGAGGCCTTTTGTTTGCAGATGACTTCGTTGGTGTTAGTGAGTCTAAGGATCAGTTACAGACGCTTATAGATGTGGTGCATGCTTACTGTCGGAAATGGAGGCTAAAGGCTAATGTGAGTAAGGGTGCAGTGATGGGGAGTCAGTGGATGGTGCTTGGAAATGGGGGGAGTATGTTTTGCCTAAAGTATCTAAATACACATACTTGAGTGTTGATTTTACTAGTACTGGTGCATGGGATGTGCATATCAAGAATGTGTTAGACAATGGTAGACGGAAGGTTAATCAGTTGCATAGTGTAATTAGTAATAAGGATATTAATTTGAGTGCTCGCAGGGTGTTGTTGCTGGCGGCGGTTAGGCCAACTTTAGAGTATGGGGTGAGGTGTGGGAAGCCAATAAGACTCAGGCAGCTGCGTTAGAGTCCGTTATGCTGGGAGGAGCTAAGCGCATTCTTGGGTGTTCGTCTAAGACATGTAATGAAGCCGTTAGGGGGGATATGGGGCTTGATACGTTACAAGGGCGTAGGGATAAGAATGAGTTGAAGTGGTGGTATAAGTTAGCGGCATTGCCAGGCAATAGGTATCCGAAGAAGCTTTTTAATCAGGAATGGAATTTTAAGCCACGGAGAGGCAGGCAGAGGAAGGATTGGAGTAAGGTCATTGATGATCTCTTTTCGTCATTAGGTCTTGACAAGGCAGAGTGGTTGCATGATATTCAAAATGGGGAATGCTCCTTGAAGGGCTTTCTGTCTATAATAGGGGACAGTATTAATGAGAGGGAGATTAGAAAGTTTGAAGAGGGGCTAAATAGCAAAGTAAAGCTGTTGTTGTATAAGACATTTAACAAGGTGGGTCTAGATTAATGTTTAAGTTCAGGTCAGGCACACATGGGCTAAATGAGGAACTGGGTAGGCATAGGGGGAGGGAGGGTATGAATGAGTGCCTGTTGTGTGATGAAAGTGTGAGTCATGTGTTGTGGGAGTGTCCAGCATATAGTAGTCTTAGGAGCAATTTCTTAGTTTCCCTGCAGGGGAAGCTTGGGGATGATGGGTTTGAGCATTTCCAGTCGCTTGATAGTTTCAGGAAAGCATCCTTTATATTGGGTAGTGAGCTGTGGAAGGATAAATTTGGTTCTTTGCTTGGCCTTGTTAAAGGTTTTATTTTGGCTGTTTTGGAGCTAAGGAAGGTTAGGTTATACGGCGATAATCCCCGCGTACAACAGACCCAGTCTCAGATTGCGTCTGGGGAGCTGCAGGGTGTCGCTGGTGGAAGGGGTGAGTTGAGGTGTCTGGGAGGTGAGACAGACACCTCATGTTCATATGGTGTATGTTCGTTTGTTAACGCTTCCGCCCATTGCTCTGGGTGCGTTGTTAGTGCTATGGCAGCCACCTGAGCATTATTTTTATTTTATTTTTTTCTTTTCAGGTTCGCAAAGTTCTGAAGTCGTTGGTATCACTTATGTGATGCTTTTTTGCCTATAGTTGGAAAATAGCTGCAGACTGACAGACACGCAAACACGCACAGACTAACCCTCGCTGTGTATGCACGCCGAGGGTTGTATTCTCGTTCAAAATAGAGGCAACCCCCTTATATAGTTGTTGTTAAGCTACCTTATTGTTTACAAACGTGTAGTAAAATTAACCGTCCTGTTCATACATGTGTACTAAGGCCGTCAGCAAGTTTGAGTTAAGAAGTGATTTTAGAAAGAAATACCTGAAGTTATTTGTCAGTATGAGAATGATGTAAAGCGTATACCAAGTTTCTTTTCTATCCGTGCAATCGTTACCGAAGATTTCCCTAAGTCTATGCATGCGTTGTTCTCTCAACCAGTTCATGGTATATCTATGAAGTTAAAAGTGTATCAACTGCATACATGTAGGTTAACTCCAAGGATTCTACGTTTTCTGTTACTAAACTGTGGAGGAACTTGAGATTAGTGTTTGTTCCGCCAAACCATCTGGGGGGAGTAGAATTTTAATAAGCTGCACTAGGTTGTGATCCTGTGTCAGACCTTAACGCACAGTTTTGTGAAAAGCAGTGCCTACATAATTCCTGTCTCTGTGTAGAGTTCTGTACTAGAGGCTTCCACACAATGGACCAGTTGCACGAATGCAAAAGTATGTATGGCACGTAAAGTGGGCGAGATAATTGAACGTGAATGTATTGCGTTTTATGGGGAAAATGGAACTGTCCGTACTTAGAGCGGCGCAGCGTGTAAGTTTTACGGTATGCTCTATTTATAAGTTACTATTGCGATATTACAGTTACCGTAGTATGTACGAGAAAAGAACGGACGCTCTAGCTTGTTCCTGCACGGAGATCTGGGCTGAGAAAGGGTACTTGTTAGTATCATGACTGGGAATCGATGTGTTCTGTGTGGCTCTACACGTGCAACAGACCCTGGAGCCTCTTTTCCCAGGTTAAGCTGAGGCTCATTGCTCGGGTCTCCACCAGGAGAGTGTCGGCTACACAGCCGAGAATATGGTTTATTACAGTGTCAGCACCTAGCTGTAGATTTGCAATCCACCTCGCTCTCGCCGCTTTTCAGCTGGGAAAGGGGAAAAGAGGCTCCAGGGTCTGTTGCACGTGTAGAGCCACACAGAACACATCGATTCCCAGTCATGATACTAACAACTATCCTTTCTCAGCCCAGATCTCCACGCAGGAACTAGCTAGAGCGTCTGTTCTTTTTCTCACACATACTACAGTTACTGTAATATCGCAAAAGTAACTTATAAACAGAGCATACCGTAAAAGCTATGTGCTGCGCCGCTCTAAGTACGGACGGTTCCATTTTCTCCATAGAACGCAATACATTGTTGCAGCCCGAACGAGACTCCGGATGTGCCGTCACGTTCAATTGCATTCCTTGTGCCGTTCGTGCAACTGGTCCATTAATGTTTTGTCGCACAATGAGTGGGCGTGTCAAAAGAACTAGCAATGCAATAAGTGCCATACTACAGGTGGTTGCCCTGCAGTTGAGTTTCTGAACGTTCGTCCTGCAAAAGGTGACTGGCTGTTTGTTGAGTCACAGAACTTACACTTGATCGAAGCTACTTGATGGGTGCCAGTAGAGTCTTCGCTGATCCATGGACGACCGTGAACTCGAGAGTTCACTTCAAATCTTGCTACTAACCAGTTAACTGAACGCAGCATGTCATGAGACAATCTGTGAAATGTGGACTCACTGTGCTTTAACTTATACATAATTGAATTGCAAAACGTGCTGCATTTGCTTGAAATAAGGCTTGAAACACTGGTGAAGCAATCAATATGAGCAATAGGTCAGCTCAGCACACTGTAGGTTACTCTGCTATGTTCGAAACACTGACTTAATGAAAAGCACTAAAGTGCAAACCCTTGGCGAACTGTGCATGCGTGATACTGCTAATTGATGGGCTGGGCTATTTGTATGTGTTTACTCGTGGTCTCCCGCTAGTAGCTCGCGGAGAGTCTGACACGGGCTAGTTAGAGTAGTAGATAGCATGCGGGAGTAGATACATGCTTGTGACTTCCTGAGCCCCCAAGGTACACAGAGCGAGTGGATCAGGTCGCAGTAAGTCCAGTGCGATTATGCATATTGGCTTTTTCACTTGTTTTCACGGCATATATCTCTCGAACGCAGTAGTTTCAGGGAAAACGCCTAATAAATATTCAGGCTCACGTAGTTCTGAAGACTTTGGTATCGCTCACAGGCCGCCTCGTAGCCTGGAGTGCGAGAATAGCTGCTGACAGACAGACAGACAGACAGACACACACACAGAACGACTGCCGTAACCCTCGCTGCGCATGCGTGCCGAGGGTTAATTAGCCCAGGAAAAATCACTGTCAACCGTGTGGCGACTGCATGAATATTTTACGGTACAGCTACAGTGCATTCCTGTTTCTTTCACTGCTGTGATTTTTTACTTCATTGCAGCATCTCAGATATCAGATGAGGATGAGTCAGTGACAGCTTTCTTTTTGGAGGCTGCATTTTCAAAAGAGCAATTTTGCAGAGATGAAATCACTACCAATTGTTCAAGCTCTAACAAAATGGAGGGGGAAACAGGTATAGGTTTCAAGGTTAGGTTGGCCTTAGGGCTTCATTCCTCAAGCAGTGTTGCTGAGTAGAATGTTCAGCCCCATGGTTATAGACATAAGTAAGGTAAAGCAGTTTTCATATGTGACCCACTCTGGGAAAAGGTATCACTTGGCACAAAATATGATTTCGAGATACGTGTGTATGTACTAAATAGCTGAATCTTGGCCGCTCGTGGAATATTGGCGTGGAAAAGTAGACACTTCCCTTGTGCAAGAGCGGCGGCAATCCGCCATTCCTAACGCTCTCAACGACCTGGCGAAGACACTAGGTTTATGTAAGCTCTAAGTACTTGTTAAAGCACCGTTGCGAGGGAATTTTATTGAACGAGTGGCCGAGTGCCTTATCAGGCTTCGAGACCACATTCGAGTTCAATAATGTCCGTAGTATGCGAGCGTAAACTGGTTTGTAGTACAAGTGGGCGGTTGAAGTTTAGTTTTACCAGTTTTCAGTAGCTACTGCATCAACAAGTCAACAAGTAAGCAAGCAAGCAAGGATGACCAAGCAATGGGGACCATTCTGCATGCAGAAATCGTAAGTGTGCACTAATTAGAGAGTGCCTCGTTTTTCTCCCGCCTTACATAGTCTGGTGCAGTGCTCTCCACAGCCTGAAATTTAAGGAGGGTGCTAATACAAGCCAAACCCACTTTTGCACTTTATTACGACGTTAAAAATTTCATTGAAAATTCTCTATATAAGAAATACAGGGCTTGCTGATCCACGTTGCACGTCCGAGCCCAGAAACGGAGTGCGTTTTACACCAGCGACAATACATACCTTCACTTTCGATATAGTGTAGCCACGGAAACGTTCTATCCACCGCTGATTGAATCCGGACATACGATGGCCACAGCGCCGTCTTTTCTTCCTTACAATTCACGGTTCGAGTCTGTGCTTTCCAAGGAATCGTCGTATTCCATAGGCGACGGTGATTTGCTCCTCTGGCGGGAAAATGCGGTTATAGCCCGGCACGATGAGCCAGAAGAAGGCGGATCGGTGGAGGATCCACTTGCCATAGCGATAGCATGGCTGCTGCACACACGTGGCTAAATGAGTGACCTTCGAACTTTGCCTTGGTCCGCGGCCGCACCCCCCTGCTGGTGCATCTAGTAAATTTATTCTCGAGTGCTTATTTGCTGTTTCTGACGTGACAAAGCCGTTCTATGTTTTCCAGCCACAGGAAAATGTGGCACGGTCGTTCACAATATAGGGATTTATTGGTACCATTGGTGCCGCCCATGCATCATACTACAAATAGTCTGACAGCGTATTTTTACACGCCCTATATTTTTGCCTGCTGTGACATTCTCAAACTGTTTATAATCTTAGTGTATTCTGTCACAAAACATCAAAGGAAAAGGAGTGCTTTATTTGCCATAGTGAGCACTGCTGCATTGTTCAGGCAGTGCTTTATTGTGCACAATACAGTTTCTCATAGTTTAGACAACAGTGTTTGAATGTATACAGTACTAGAGAGTGACAGATCAGTTGGAAATGCGAAATGCACGAAACGGCATACACCAAATCTGCGTCATGGCTCATCAACAGGTCAAACGGAACCGAATCAGTAGAAGAGGATTGCCCTTCTCTAGCTCCGCAGTACTCCCTGGCTCAGCAAAACAGAGATTTGTGGTGTCTCGCAGAGGGCGCGCTTCCTTGCCAAGAGAGATTTTTCTTGGGAGGAAGAGGCTGAGATCTGTACTGACGTTTCCTCCGGCTCCTCCATCTAGTCTCCCAGGCCGAAGTCAAACGCTTCGTAGCATCGCGCTGACTGAACCGCCATTTTTCCGCTTCGCTTTAAATCAGTTAATGTACCCGCTTATGCCCGTGCACTACCAGATATAACGTACTCGGAATGCGTCTCGGGGCCTAATAAAGCACTCGCAGGGTCATTTCTTGATTTTAAAAATCTGCGCCTCATGCTTCATTAGCCTCTAAACGCATTCCTCGTACGTTATATCCGGTAGTGCACTCGCGCGGGTACATTAACTAATACATAGTGGTTGCACCGTGGAATTGCACTTTTCCACTCTGTTAGTCAATGATTGTCACCTGTCTTTTCAAGTTTTTTGTCCTCATTAACCCTAGGTGCACATGTGATGTCTCGCACGCCCTTGCTCTGCAAGGAATGCGTTGCACTTGAGTGAACAGGGTTCAGAACACTTATGTATGCATTTAATACTAGAGGTAGACAAGGGTATACAAATGCGGGCTCAGTTCCATTGCACGCCGATTCTGCGGCACTAGTTCTGGCTCAGCCGGTTCCCGTCTTGCCGTCTTGGCTGGTGGTTCTCTTTCCCGTTGTATGGGCGGTAGCGACCTCTTCCGCCTCGGCTGCCTCCTTGAAAGCTGCCGCCCCCACGGGTAGTATGGCTGTGGGTGTGGGTGTGGCCCTGGCGAAAAAACTGCGAGCCAGTGGACGAGCTGTTGGTAACATCACGGAGTCAATGTGTTCCTTGGCCAGCTTCTCAAATTCTTTGCAAAAGTGAACCGTTTTGGCTCCTCCACCAGAGGGCAGAGGTCCTTGTTCAGGTGAGACGTTACGCGTTTCCTACGCTCAACGGAAATGTTTGCGTGGGCGTTTCCGAGGAAGCGTAGCCCCTACGTACGTAGCTGCGTCGGCAGCGAGCTCCGGCGTAAACCACCCGGCCTGATTCAGCTCCAACATGCTCACCAATGGCCCGACTGTATCGAGAAGAAGGGCCTGGAATCGGCTCTGGGTCCGGTGCGCGTCTTCCCGTGTTTTGGGACTTGTGGCTTGAGGTTGTTGTCTAGCTTTCGGCATTTCGTTGCCTCGGCAGCCGGCATGCCGTACATTTTGCACCATCGTCGTCTGGTGGTGTTGGCCTCTCAGGACCTACATCTGGCGGGGCGTGTACAACACTTCCTGTCAAATTGGCAGTTGATCACCCAAGATCAGTGGGTTCTAAATGCTGTGAAAGGCTACAGGATCGAATTCCTGCAAAGGCCTGTGCAGTACAGAAACCCCCCTCAGCTTACCTTCACAGAGAAGGAGGAGGAATGCATGCTGGCAGAGATCCAGAACATGTTGGGCAAAAAGGCTATCTCACTGACAGCAGAAGGCCCAGAGGATTCCTACTCTCACATAACGGAGGGCAGGCAGAGGCCTGTTATAAACCAGTGAAGACCAAGCACTTCAAGATGGAAGGCATTCACATGCTGAAAGACCTGCTGAGAGCACGAGACTGGATGGCCAAGATAGACCTGAAAGATGCCTCTTTCATGATTCCCATTGCTCTGGAGGACAGAGATTTCCGCAAATTCTAATGGAAGGACAAGACATACCAGTTCAACTGCCTACCGTTCGGGCTGTCCTTGGCTCCGTGGGTCTTTACCAAGACCACACGACCAGTCGTGGCGACCCTGCGGGAGGTGGGACTGCGTCTGATAATCTACATAGACGATATTCTCGTCATGGAGGAGAGAGAGTCTCTGCTGAGAGATCACATCGGTGTACCTGCTAGAGAATCTTGGGTTTGTGATCAACCACCCCAAGTCAGAGCTGACCCCCACTTAGGAAATAGAATTCCTGGGGTTTACAGTCAACTCCTCCAAGATGGAGCTCAGACTGCCAGGGGAAAAGATCAAGAAGATCAGAGTCAAGGCAGGCAAAATCCTGCAGTCAGACTCGGTGTCGGCTCTATCTCTCTCCCGACTGATCGGGAAGATGAATGCGGGCAAGGTACACAGAGCAAGCAGATAAGGTCGAGGTGAGCCAGTGGTAACTAGCATGTTGGCTTGTTAACTTGCCTTTCCTGCCTTAAATTTTGAACACAGTACTTTTACAAAAATGTTTAAAATCAAGAAATGACCCTGTTGGTATCGTTATTTTGTTGTTTCATTGCATGTGGTGGCACAAAACGTGTTAAAAGACAGACGGACGATCGGACAGCTCACCAACCAAGTACCGTAACCTGCGATGCGCACTGAGGGTTAATAATGCCATACAAAGCAAGGCGGATCAGAGCACAAATCCTGTTCCATCCTGCTCTCTCTCTTGTACATAACACTTTACATTTGTCAGGTTAACATGATGTTTGGCACACACTGCATGTGCACAAATCTTTTGTAGGCATTAACCAGGGTGTTAACACTAAAATCTTTGCTGTTATGTGTATATAGTTACCAATTAAGGTGTATGTGTATGATTTTTATACAGTGCTCCCTTTGAAGGACTCTGAAGAGACTGTGGTGGTATGCCCTCAAGTACTCTTGTCTTCGAACGCTTACCCAGGCACACTCAGTCCCTCTCCTACACCCCTGTCCTCACCAACACTCTATACCCTTCCAGCCTCACATTCAACAGAAAACAAGCTAAGAATCGACAAGTGGAAAGCAATTATAAGGAAACTGTCCCTTCACAATGAACTCAGGAGTGTGTGGAATGAGCTTAAAGTCAGGGGTGGGTTTTCAACAAATGAGGATTTTATCATTCATTTGTTGAGACGTGAATCAGAGAGACAATGCGTTGAGTACGATGTGCTTGCTAGCAAACCACCACCAGATGTGTCAGATGTCACCAATTATGGTGTAGATACCCCATCAGATATGGCCAACTCTCCGGAAGTCAGTGTCAACTTTGAATCTGACACATTGTCGTGTAAGACAGATACGGTCACAGACGTCCGTTGTAATAGTGTGGGGTTGTTACAAAAAGACTCAACCGGTGTTGCAGAGTACGCTAGTAAACTTGGTACCTTGTGCCAACAGCCAGACTGCAGTTCAAGGCAGTATGAATTAACAGTGCTGGACTCTCAGAAGAAGCATGCAAAGGATGATACAGGTACAACTATTAATTTTAGTGTGTATATCTTTTAAATTGACAATTGGATTTGTTAGTACGAAGTTCCTTATCTTTGATATGAAACCTCACTTTTTGAACAAGGTATTTTCATGCTGAAAACATTGTCTGTAACTATGTTGATCAAAAGAACTTGACAAAACAGTTCTGTGCCTGCTTTGCAAATCTCTTTTCCTTGATTCATCCGACCAGGCAGCTCGTGCTACCCTCATAACAAAGTGATGCAGTAGGGCTCCACAAGCAAGTGCGCATGACAAACTTAGTCTTCAGTTTTTGCCTTTGGTATAGCAGCCAGTACCACGCCTGCTCTCCCCCCTCTTTGGTTTGGCATAGATTGTTTTGGGTCGCTCAGGTCTTCTGTCGCACTTTTTCAGGCAGAGGGTCAGCGGATAATGTTCCATAGTGCAGCACCAAATGACAATCTTGCTCTCGCTTACTTCTCGCATCTTTCACATCCCATGTGCTTGGAATCACAACTTTTTTGCTCTGCACAAAACATGTTTTGTACTCCGTATACTTGGGACATCCGTGTGGTGCCCTCGCTGCACACTACAAACAAGGAGGTCATCAGGTTCGATATGCCTCACATGTAGATGTGTATACTTTACCTACGCAACAATAATGGGTGTGGCAGAGATGTGGGCCATAATTTTACATAAATCATGGTTGTTTCTTTTGTCTAGTTTAACAGTCTAACCCCTAGCCTTGTTTCCTAATAACGTATTGTGTTTTGAACTACGTTATTCTGTTCTTTCGTGACCTTCGTTTAGTAATATACCCAAGGTGCATCAGTACCGCACAAGGTCGGAGCCCGAGGGCGGTAGTAAAAAGAACCAAGGGTATAGACACGTATGCTTTCTAACCTATTTAAAGCCTAGACAACTCGGACAGTAGTTTCACAAAGTCAGTTCTACTGGCTGCACAAGACTACTCCGACAGATCTCATGGCACGGTTTTTGGAATATACTTTATGACACAATTGAAACTAAAACCTAGCATCTACCTTTTCACGGCAGCATCCCCTCGTAGTTGTGGGCATTGCCTTCCTGAGTATTGCGCCATAAATATTCCGTGTACAATATCTCGAACAATGAGAGCGGAAGGGTGCTACGCGTTTTTGCGTATAAGGCATAAACGGAAGTAGGTACGAAGGTGTGGTTTTCTTTGTTGTATGCAGCATGCGTTGCACATTGGAACGATATGCGTAACTCAATTCGGAATTTTTGCGCGAAAATGTACCTTTTCCCACCTACGTTTTCAGCCACAAGCAGTGTCATAGCTGCTGACTCTGGTAGCCACAAGCACACAAATCAGTGTCATACCAGCCATAGCTGCCAACCAAAAAAACCATGTCATCTGACCTGGTACTGCAAGTTGTCATTAATTCACTGATACACACCTACAGCACCTGTTCCTCTCCCTTTTATCTTGGGCTCTGCCGCACATTCCGTTGGGTTTATGTGATCTCAAACATAACTAACTCATGAACGTTAAAAAAATCAGCTAAAATATGTAGCAAGATATGAATCCTCAGAGGTTTCTTGAGAAATAAGGAGACTAATGACGAATATAACAAGTTAGTAAAGTAAACGGTGGCAGCTAAAGGCCTAGCAAGCAACAAGCGTTGTTTTTAAAGCTGACCGTAAGCTAAGAACACTAGCGTTGTAGTAGTGCAGTCGTACCTCTGCTGCTTGCTATCGTTTCTCGCTCTCCTTTGCGCCCGCTGAGCGCGCTGACGCAACATGCGCGCGTGCGACCGCGCCCACTAAACCATGTACATCAACACGGCAAGAGCAGCCCATCGATCGCCTCGCCGTCAGCACTGTCGCTGTGTGAACGCCGTGTGGATCTCCTGGCCGTACAGCTAGCTAACGCTGCATGGGGCAACCTGTATCTGAGTGTTAGCAAACTACGGCATACTGTGCCGTAGCAGGTCTACGGCTTCCACCGTAGTACGGCGTAGCAGCAGCGTAGCAAGACCGTAGTTCTATTATAGTGTGACCGTACTACGGTACGGTAGTGAGCATTTTTTTTGCCGTGTACTGTATATGGTCTCCCCAAAGTTCAAAAGGAGGATGTCCCCCTCAGACCCATTGTCTTTTGCATCAACTCTCCCACATATCGGCTGGTGAAAACACGTCGCCCACCTCAACTCCCCTGTTGCTGGTTCCACGGATTCATTGGTGAAATATTTCGTTGAGATCATGGCCGAGGTATATACAATTGGACCCGGAGGAAAGTCTTGTGAGTTTTGATGTGTCTTCTCTTTTCACAAATGTTCCAATCAAAGAGGCAGTAGATGTGTTACACAGACGATTGCAGGAGGACAGCACACTCGAAGCTAGGACAGACCTGCTTCCAGGTAGTACTGCCGAGCTGCTTCAATTCTGCCTCAAATCCACCTACTTCTGTTTCAATGGAGTGTTTTACGAGCACTGTGGTGGTGCAGCACCTGTGTTGGCAGTGGTGGCAAACATGTACATGGAGCACTTTGAAAGTTTGCCTCTCGGGACTGTTCCAATACGCCCAAGACTGTGGAAGCGATATGTTGACAACACACTGTGTGAATCTGAAGGAGTTGGAGGGCTACCTCTTCACCTGAACAGCATCCGACCTTCTATCAAGTTTACCGTTTAAGTAGAGCAGAGTGGTACCCACCCTTTCCTGGATGTCTTAGTGCAACGGAAAGAAGACAACTGTCTGGACGTCCACAGCCTCAGCAGAACATCCATGTGAGGCCGCATCATGTACGCATATCTTTGTCCACGTGATGGCATCCTCAAGCCTTAGCAGCTGCCATAGCTGAAAAATTCTTGATGTTGGACGTCGACAACCGCCACAAGCCAGTTTCACTCAACCAGCTAAAACCCACCTACCTGGAGAGAGAACTACAACCCTCTAAGAAAGCCAACATTCACCTCTGACAGGGTAACCACCAGTGCCGCCAAGGATCACACGTTCTGGTGGAAATGATGTAGCGGGATGTCACTCTGTAACCTGCAACAATCCTTGTACTGTAAACCCGGAAAATTTAACGTCCAAAATATTTAACGTTTCGTTACTAGGGTTCATTTTAACGTCCATTAATGTTAACGTTTTACAATACAACAAAATATACAGTAGGGTAAAAAAAAAACGTTTCCGTTTCGTTGAGCTACCGTTCCCTTATGAAACGCCGTTCATTTACCATTGGAATTCGTTCCATTTAGAATCGTTGCCGTACATGCGTTCGCGCGAGGGCCGTAATTCACGAGATGCAAATGCCTCACTGTGAAGATATTACTTCTAGCATCTACGTGCGTACTGCATTCTCGTTGTTTCGCGTTTGCGCTAAGAAAAAAACCTTGTTTCGCTCCCCCGCTAGCGAGTCTCTACCGCGTTTGCGGAGGGCGTGTTACGTGGAATTCACAACTGAACGGAAACGGAACGGAACGATAGTGAACGGCAAATGGAAAGAAACGGAATGAAACTGAAAACGTTTTTGACTCCTAAACAGACACTAGATTAGCAACGATTGTGCGTGGGCGTATGTTTCAGATATTTTTTATATGACACAGCAAAAACACTGGTAATTTATGGTGAATTTGGGTATATTTCTCGGATTTTTCCTACCTTATTTTCCAAACTCATTAGCATATTCATATTCCTCCTCAATACATTCTCTATGGGAGAGAAAACCCGTGCGCGACTCACCCAGGAGCGAACGGTTCGTCTCCATTATGTGCAATGGCGTTTTTTCTGCCTCCTGCGGCACGCGCAGGCGTATTAGAGCCATCCCGAAAAATAGGCGTGGCCAAGTTTTGAGCATTACGTTTTCACGTTGACCTTTGCCACCCGGTCACGCCCGTTTTTGGACCGTTCGCTCCTGGGTGAGTCACGCACGGGTTTTTCTCTCCCATAGAGAATGTATTGAAATGTGAATATGCTAATGAGTTTGGAAAACAAGGTAGGAAAAATTCGAGAAATATACCCATAAATCACCAGCGTTTTTGCTGTGCCATTGAATCTGAAACATACGCCCACGCACAATCGTTGCTAACCTTAACAGAAAAAATACATCAGCACACTTATATGAAGCAAGTATACAGCAACCAAAGGGAGTTTAAGTCTGGTTTTCGAATCAATTCAGTACATTCAGAAAGTGTAGATATAACTGACATAATCCAGTTAGCATGGAGAGGCTGCCATTAATGATGCTTGGGATCTATACGAATATCGCTTATGCTAACCCCACGATCCATAGCTTCCTTGATTTTCATTTGCATACCATCTTGTAAATGAATTGTTCATAAGATTATTAAATCTATCCTTGATACCCACATCGAACGGTTGCAATTCGCCAGTGCAGCCAGCAGGTACAAAGACCTGATAATATTATTGTTGGACTGAAGTTTCTCTAATACGGTACTGCACCGATGGGCAGCAAACACATCAAAGGTGGCCAAGGCAGGTTGGTCTTCAGGTAGGTCTAGTGCATTCCTCGTATCCACAACGTACGGAATGATGAGTACTCGATCATTGTCCTTTCAATGCTCCAGTGACTGTCACTATGCGTCACGTGCCACTTGTCAGGAAACGTCACTTTTGGGTGGCATCCTGTGGTTTTGCCTTGATAAATCAATTGGGGTGGGAGAAGCCTGCCAGATGCTGTAGCTGCGAATAAAGCCGTTATTTATCGTTCGTCATCTTTTCCTACTACGGCAACCTGCTTGGAACCTTCCTCAGCCATGGTCCAAGAGCTCTAGCTTCACACCTGTATGATCCCAGTTTATCAACAACTGGGGAGGTATGCTGTTGGACTCCACCTCGTCACGAATTCTAGTCAAAAACGCTTGTTTCAGGTCAGAAAAATCAGGAGGAAGTTTTCTAGCTGCCTTAGTAACTTTGCATTTCACATAGCCCCTCCGCAACAGAAATGACTGCCCCTTTCCCCCTAACTCCACGCCTCCTCTGTACTCCTTTAATAGGCTGGGATTCTTGTGTGTTATTATCCCTTTGGCTGCGGATATGATGATGATGCTGTTAAATAACCCACCAGCCTGGCGCAGACGCTTAATATATATAGTCATAAACGTCATCATCAAACTTCCCTATCAGCAGAGGTCTACCCAGTGCAGCGTGAGGTAAGCTGGTAATATCGTCAGAATCGGGAGTATCCTTCTAAGTACCTCCGTTACAAATTTAAGACCGTGGCCTCGGAAAGGGTGTAACCAAGCTCAGCTGAGTATTTCTGTACCGAGGCTTTATTCCCATTTTCACATTTTCCGTTTCTACCTTCGCTCGAAGTCTCCTGAGTAGTGGTGGTATTTTCCTCTCTTCCGCTTCCGTTTCGAGTTCAGCACTTCCATAACCTGTTGGTTTGCAGCTCCAGTTGCTGTACCAGGGTCTCCTTGGGGTAAAATGAAGGAGTAGACTCGCTTATTGACTCACTGGAATTCAGCCACCGGCAGAAAGACATCTTTCCTGAACGCACGCGTTGCTGTAGTGCTGCGCATGCGCAGAATAATAATGTTGACGTCTATGAAAATTAGCGTTTTTTGGGATATCATTAATTTCATTTTTCATTCAAATTTAATGGAATGTAAACATTTCTACTGTAACCAGTCACCAGCCACCTCTGTTGTAACAAGCCAGCTGTCGGCACAAGAAGCTTTCCTAGGGCTGTATAAAACTGTCATTTGTTAACCCTCGGCGTGCATGCGCAGCGAGGGTTACAGTAGTTGGGTCTGTCTGTGTGTGTGTCTGTTACTCTCAATCTCACTTCTCGGGTGTTTGTTCGTCTCACAAAGGATACGACTTACTTACGGGCAATGAAGGTCAGATATTTCGAACGGTTTTCTTTGAAACTGCTCCGTTGCAAAGCTAGAGTGCGAAAAAGCCAATATGCAAATACACAACGGACGGGATGGCTTACCACAGTCGGATCGATCCGCGTGCTCTGCGTACTTCGGAGGCACCAGAAGATGCAACGCAGGGCGTGTATCGCCTCTTGCATACTATCTAGTAGTGTAGTTAGCCCGCGTCAGACTCTGCGCGAGCTGGCAAGAGACCTAACAGCTAAAACTCAAACCCAGCCCATCAATTAGTGGTACAGCGCATGCGTTTACTTACGCGTGCGCGTCACAGCACAGTGCGCCGAGGGTTTGCACTTCAATGCTTTTCATTTGAGAATTGCCACTATCTGTAGTCCCTACATAAAACTTTGTATGCAGTGTCCATTACATTTGTAGCCTCAGATAAATATTAATGTTATGTCTGCATGGAGATCAAAAATAGTACATCATCCTCACGACGGTTAACTTTGTTTGTAAACAACAAGGTAGTATTGTATACAAGACTTACCCCTTTTCAATCATAGTATTGTGTTTTGCGCGTATTTAGTGCCTGTCCACTGTGGGAAAATGAAGATATCAGAAAACTAGGTAGCCACTAAGGAGAACACAAAGGAAATTCTAAGCATTTTTGCGAGCGGGACCAATGCACTGCAGATTTACAGCCATTGGTGAGCACGCACAGGGATGATTTATAGGTACCAAATGTACTGCATTGGCAAGCGGCAGCAAACCAACAGACTTTCCTCTTGCGTGCGTTGTTTGGACTGCACTCTTAGAAAGGTGTGTTGCTCGCTCCAAAGCAAGATGCTGCCTCCTGCGCGCTGTCTCATGCTAATTTCCGCTCACTTGCTTCATCGGTACTGAACCCTCCACACGCCTGTGCGGTGTTGTGAAATAGTTGCAGATTCCAATCATGTACAATAATTAACCCTCGGCCCCGCATGCGCAGCGAGGGTTACGGTAGTTGTCTCGTACGTGTGTCTGTCAGTCAGTCTGTCTGTCACCACGTTTTCTGCCACCACGCGCATGAAATCAGGCATATATAGCGATATGAACGGGTTCAGTGTTACACTGGGTTGATTTTTTAAAAAGCGATTTGCGTAAAAATACTGCGTTCTAAAGTTATGGCGCGAAAACCAAGTGAACAAGCCAATATGTAAATTATCACAGGCTTACCTCGACAGGGTCCACTTGCTCTGTGTACACAAGAAGTCACAATGAATGGTGAGTATCAACTCCCGTATGGTATCTACTACTGTAGCTAGCCCGTGTCGGACTCCGCGAGCTTTAGCAGGAGAAACGCATGCTGATAGCCCAGCCCATCAATAAGCGGTGTGGTATGGCGCATGCACAGTTCGCCGAGGGTTTGCACTTTAGTGCTTTTCATTTCACAAAGTTATGATGGTTTACTGTGGCACTGCTAAAATTGTGTGGTATGGTGCATGCACAGTTCGCCGGAGGGTTTGCACTTCAGTGCTTTTCATTTCACAAAGTTATGATGGTTTACTGTGGCACTGTGTGTGTTAGTATGTGTGTAAGTGGTGGTTATGTGATTTTTCCTTTCCATCAGACCTGGAGTTCCCTGTTGATGAGGTGATTGACTGTCTCTGAAAGCCCAAAGGCTGTAAATGATGTGCAATCATACAATTATCACCAACTGTGGAGTATCCTTTCGCCAAAATCACCATAATTTTTAGTATATAGCACACCATAATCACGAATTCCATCAATAGAGTTGAATATTGACCCTAATAATTTCTTACCACGTTTGAAAGTTTACCCCAGTTCATGTCCTTGATAGAAACACCCATATCCTGTAAGGTGCGTGCTGTGTGGTACTCTACACAGTGTCGACCTAATTCACGGCCTACATCCCAGATGTGAAACAAGTCATAAGGATTTATGCTTTCCAGCAGCTTTCCTTCCTTGCTGGTAGGTCGACTAGTGGGGTAGGACACCCTACTGTGTGGAAGAGACACTCCTTTCCATTTCTTGTACTCGCAGTCACGATATTTGGCTTCAAATTCTACGACGGTAAGGGTTCCCGTACTTGGCCCCCGAAAACACTTGCCGATGTTGATGATCGGTATGGAAAACAGCAACTCCCTTGTTCCACTTGTACTGCACACCCCCTTGAACACAAAAGATTTGTTACCGATGCAAACTTTCCAATTCGCTAGGTTTCCGTCGACAAAAAGACGGAAAAGTGAAGTGCGCTCAGTCCCACTGACTTCAACGCGGACCTGATATGGAGTAAGCCAGCATTCACCTTCGGTACTGAAGTTCGATTTGTAGGTGACTGGTGTGGAAAACTTGCTTTCGATCATTTTCCGCCCTTCCACTTGGTACTCCGGCATAGGGAGGCCAAACACTTGCACGTGAAAGGTGAATCCAGCCATGACTTTGGTAAAACGCATGCGCGGTACTGTCGATGGTCCCCCGCCAAAACCGGTCCCCCCCGGAACGTCCGTGGCAGCCGTAATTGGTCCGTCCCCCCTTGCCACACAGTCCCCCACCCGAAATATGCACACAAGTATCAAGTGAACCCTTGTCTCTGTTATATCTTAGCATCCTTGAGCCGACGGTAGCTACGTACGTCTTCTCCCCGTTTCACTTCGCATCCACGTCGTCGCCCTCGCGCGTTACTCTGCCGATACAGTGCTACAGTGCTACAGTACAATACTTGCAGTGAATGTTTTCACGATTTGTGTATTACCACAAATAGCCTTGTGTGCGTATGGTTTTGCAATAAATGTTCAGCACACGAGCAGCATTCAGCATTCAGCATTTATGGCGCGCAGAAAGAAGGGGGCGGGGCAATTTTCGTGTGAGTACCAGCAGAGCGAGTGGTCGTTGGGCGAGGGTGAACGGCGTGGAGATGAAGGGCGGTGACGGCGGGGAGTCGGCAACCGTGAGGGCGTGTAAGACACGATACTAGCTCAGTTTGGCAACTGACCTCCATCCATAGTTCAACTCCCTCCGATGATGCGGTCTGCGAGTTGCACGAGCTGGTCCAAAGAAGGAAGTGGCGTCAGGGGTCGAGGCGAGCACCACGCGTACGTTAGACGGCAGGCGCTGTAGAAACAGCCTTCGGACGAGAGCGTCGTCAGTGGCCGCTGCTCCGTCGCCTAGTAACTGCTGCATTCGGCGCAACATTTGGGATGGCGGATCAACTGGAGTGTACGGACCCAGCGTGTATATAGCGACTTCCTGCGACTCGCAATCGTCACAGGTCTCCGTGTTAGTCAGTTGCAGACATCGTTCTTCACTCCGTGATGGGACCACTTTTACGACGGACTGTCCGCCCACTGCTCCGTTTACAGTCCGTCCTAACACTGTTCATCACCGCGTTAGAATCCGTTGTCTCACACTCCGTGCTCATAACCCGTTCATCAACGTTACGCATGCGCAAATATGTCAGGTAAAAGCACAGTATACATACAGGAGTTCAGTCCACAAGGTATGAGTACATGCAGTAGTTCAGTCCACATTAGTGTCACTAAAGCACTCCGGAGGTGGTGGATTTAATCTCCTGCTCGTTGAATCGTTTTCCTCTCTGGAGGGAGTAGAACCAGGCTCAGCAGATCCCTCGGACTGGCACACAGCCCACCTGGGGGAATTAGTGGGAGGAGAAATAAGTGACGGAGACTTATCTATCTGCTCTTTAGGAAAACATTCTTTCCCGGTGCCTGCTTTGAACGGTTGTCCAGTTTTCAGACCAACTTGTTAAGCCCTGTAAAAATCAGTGTCAGATAGTCAAGAGTGATTAAACACAAAATTACATACTTTCTGAGCGCCACGGCAAAGAATGCTTGTTTACTTTCTCCCCATCACTAGCCTCGCTCTCCTCCGTCATATATTCCAAACTTATTTTCTTCTCTTCCTTTGGAGTGCGAATGTACTTTTTACGGCTTTGATAGAGCTAAATAGGTAGATGAGAAATAATGGGTTACATTGTTTGAATGGAGACAAGCACTCACTCGTTTACGTCGTTCTCTTCTTCTTGATTCAGTCTGTACCTTTGCAGCTTGCTCGATCCTATTAGGCCTGCTGTCATTGAAGAGCCTTCTCCGTATAGTATCTGTGTACAGACCCTAGCAAAGTTGCTTATTAGTTCACAATTATGAAAATCACTTGACAGTGCAAAACCCTCACCACTCATAGAGCTTGACAGGAATAGCCAACAGAACATGACTAGCTATATTATCCTTTTTCATCACCACAAGCACACCAGCAACTCCCTTCACTGCAAATCTCGCTCCTAGCAGGCAGACCAGCAAGCTTGGTGGTATTGAATTACCTCCCTGATTACCAGCCTCCCATTTGGTCCATTGCATGCAGGAAGGAGCCATCTGTCACAGCGATCGTCTCCAGAATCTTAGTCTGCCATGCGTGCCTCCTACCAGATAACATATGCATGTTTGACGCTCAGAGCTTCCGCGGTATCAGAGAAAAACGGTGGACGGACGGACACACACACACACTGAAACACAGACAGACCAACTACAATAACCCTCGCCATGCATGTGTGCAGGAGAGGGTTAATAAAACCAGACACACTTACGCTAAATTCTCTTAGGAGAGTATTTGTCGGAACACTGCTCCGTCAGGTATATACTCTTGATTTAAGGCACAGTTGTACCTTCAGGCACACATAAAAGTACATGCAGGCATTGGAGGTATACTTACGGCTCGGATCCAACGAACTGCTTAGACGTATCCGCTGACCTCATGTTGGACGTGGGCAAGGTATACCTTGATCCGCTGACCTCATGTTGGACGTGGGCAGGGTATAATAGACTCTGATCCGCTGACCTCATGTTGGGTGTTTTTGAAAAAAAATGGTTGTTAATCTTTCATATCTCCATGCAGAAGCTAAGAAGACAATATACGAAACGAAAGAATTTTAGAGCACGAAAAAAGGCACATACAGAAGGCAGCTAGGTGGGAGGAAAGGTGTAAAGAGGCACTGAGAAGGCGTTGGAGAGAGAATGCAAAAGTTCAAACTTCATCAAGAGTTAAGTATAAAAGTTAGATAGATAGAGTTAGATATAAAAGAAAAAGAGGAAGAGTGTAAGAAAAAGCGAAAAGCTCTTGCCACTGCTTTAGAAAATAAAGGCTAAAAGTCAAAGCTAGTGAAAGTATAGAAGCTGTTCGTCAATTTTTGCGAAATAGTATTCTAGAGGAACGCACAAGGGCTGGAAAAATGGTCCCTGAGAAAAGCATCTAACAGATTAAACGTGTAGTCCGCGTATAAAAAGGGGCGTGCCAGGAAAAAATAGCGCACACCGTGACAAAATGGCGGTGTTCAATGTCTCTTCACTTCCTGAGCCGCTGGCTACCACGCATCCGTTTCCACGCACTAAAACACGCTGCGTTTGTCCTAATAAAAGCCTCTCAATGCTAAATCAGCGCTTCTTGCGCTACTTGCACATGAATGCGCTGAACAGCGCTTCTTGTGCTACTCGCACATGAATGTCTGAACCTCCAGCGGCCAAGAAACCGAGGGCCGGCGGCCCACGTTTCACTCTCCAGCTAACGTTTGGCAACACTGACACAATGGCAGCGTTCAAGGAGCGAATGGAAGCTCTAAAGTCCGCTCTCGCTCCTGCGGGAGCACCTCCATTGAAGCCGGTCGAGCTAATGGCGAAGCTCTTTGACATAGCTGATATTAATTATCTTGTTCTTTCCATCAGCAGAGTCCTGAGGAACTAGCCCTAGCCCTCAGCAGAGTCCTGAGGAACAGGAGGAAGACTGAGCCATACGGCCAGCTTGCACGCACTTCACTATACGTATTATATACACGTGTCACGCGCGTGCGCACATTTTATTACCAATCCCGTGTTACGCACCGCAGCTATGTTGTTCCAGCGTTGCGCTAGCGGTACAAACGAAGGCTCCATACACTTGCCTTCTGGTACGTTTTTGAATTTTACCGCCGCCATGTTTGTGCCAGGTACCGCCCCTTTTATACGCATGCGCACGGAAGCGACTCCGCCTCTGCAATTGCGCGAGCTGTGAGCGCGCAAGAAGCGCTTAGCAGATATTTTATCCGCGGACTACACGTTTAACCATGTTTTTCATACCTTTGTATGCGTGAATGATTATTATAAAACACATTGAAAATTTATTGTGTAAAACAAAAAGTGTATATACACCATACACTAGAATGAAAGTTTCATGGGAACTGGAGCAGCAACTAAAAGCCTCTCCTCAAATCCAACAATGTTTAGTTTCGTAATGCATGGAGCAGCAATCGCATGGATGAGTTGCACATGGAAATGTTACGAACGCTCGCTCACTGTTGTACACAATGTTGCCGAGGAGCCATAAAAGTTTGAATGTGTGTGGCTCTCTTCCAAGAGACATAAGCGAGAACGTGACTCATGGTTTTAGGTGACGATTCATTTACACATACTTTTACCTTGTGCAGATAGTACTGAACACATCCCACACGAAGCTTGCCATTATCTATGCCTGCCAAAGTCCCACACCTTTCAGGCCAGTAGGCCATGATTGTGGCTGCAGATCTGTTACTAAAACTGAACCAAGTATTTCGCCACATACTACTGCTCTCCCAGACCGCATGTAGAATGCAGAAAGTGATGTTATTAACGGCTCTGGGTATAAGGCTTTATAAAGCTGATCCAAGTCATTAACTAAACGGGCAGGGAAAACATGTCTGCACATGGGTGATAACAAATGAATAGTTTTTTCCACTTCAAAACATTCCTGGCAAGTTTGCAGTTGATTTATTCAACACATTAAAGCAGGCCACATCACTTTGAACATGTCTCGTTTCTGGTTGAATAATGGAAAGAAAGTCTGGATGTGCACAAGGTTTTCTATTTATAAGAATTTGGCTGTTAATAAATCTACGCATTATTTGTGACTTGGTTAGTAGGGTAGCAAACCATTATAGCGTTCGAAGGAAAAGCACCAAAACGAATGGGCAGGCCCAAAATCAAGCAGACAGTTTTTAAGATGAAGGTGTAAATGCATATTAGGGGTGCAGTGCTCTTTTCCATATAACTGCTTGCAGAATGCCAAGAGTAGCAGATCAGCAGTATTAATAATTGCTGATGTGGCTTCCCAATATGCAACATGCACGAACATATAATTTACCAGCATCTTAAATGTTCGTCTGGCAATATACCTTTTAGAACGACTGGAGAATCCAAGTGCGCCACTGGGCAGCCTTAAAACCTCTGTAGTTAGAAGATATGTTGCTAGGAAGTCGTCCTACTGAATTTGGCAAGGTAAACAGACTACACCTTTCCTCGATAGACGAGAGCTCCTTTTTACCAATAATTCCGAGATCAATCCATAGCTTGATTCCAGTTCCAAGGTAAAGGTTGTGCATTAGGTCAATGACTTGAACTGGATCAAAATATGGCAACTGCAAAAGAATAGAATATCGACATCCAACCTCAGATTCTTTACTACGTATTCCAGATTGAGTGTTCTCTTTTGAGATTTCATTACAGGCTAATCTATGTTGGCTACCAGTTCGTGTAGGCCAGTTGTCACGATCAAAGCCTGATAATTAGTCGGTCCAAATGCTACATTTTCAAAAACCTTCATGCATTTTATGGCATCCATACTTTGCATTATGGCTTAAAAATCCACATACTTTCTTACAAGCAGGTAGGTCACAACTAACGCATGATAATGCCACTCGAAATGTTGCAGATCTTCCATCACTAATTTGAAGTGTAATTCCTGTTTGCCATGCCTCTTTTAATTCTTCAACTAGAGGAGCTAGATAAGAATTAATTGATCATTTAGGCTCTGCAGGACCAGGAAGGAGTCCAACTAATATAACATTTTCCTCTTGTACCTAATTGAGTATTGAGTGTGTGTGAAGGGTTGGAACCAATCCACATTTAGTGTTACCATGTATATACAAAAGGGAAAGGAAAGGAAACGCTGAAATGCTCTGTTTGTTTCATATTCCTTCCACACCTGTCCATCATACACATCACCATATTATTGACCTGGGATAGAAACCTGCCGATCACGCCACTGTTCGCAAGCCTCAACAAACCATTTCCTTTGCACTAATCGGCCCAAGGAGTGATGCAGTGGTTGGTATGGGTAGGCTTTTATAGGAACAAGTCTCCCGGACCGTACCGTAAAAGATTGCCACATTCTTTTCTTCTAGAATGCTGAGGATGATTTGGATAAGTTACATGCTGGCATCTTTTGGATTCATTAACAGAACCCCTCATGACAGCACAACTTTCGTAATCGTATATGGAATTGCACGATGGACAAACAACGTATGTGATAAATGATGGCTCCTCTTCTTGTAACAAATATTTTCGAGCTGCATCCACATTAACTGGCATATTTTGAAATTTGGACCGCCATATGCTTGTCCAAGAGAGAGAAAAGAGGCACCAAAAAACTTAAGAAGAACTGTCACAGCAGCATTTGATATTTGAAACAATGACTGCCAGAGGAGAAGAAAGAAAACTAATTGCCACAGGGGATGAGAAGTGTTAGAGGGCTCCTTAGGTGTATTTAAGAAATACATGTCTTCGTCACTAGACTCAGAGCTATACAATCCATCAACTTCACTGGTAACCTAGGCCAACAGAATTATGAATAAATGCTCTAGAATAATTTCAGCCTACTGCAAAAATACTGTGAATGCAGCGAGCCATCGTTGTTATTCTGACTCATTGGCTGGCTTGTTTATACATACCTCATGTGAATCACTAGAAGCATAATCTTCATCCATTTCACATGCTAAAAGTATTATACAGATAATACAGTAATTCCATGCCATTTTTACTGGGGCATTCAGAGTAGTCGTTGAATTGCTACTTACACTCTGATGTAGTATCTTCAAAACAGCTTTGGATGTCAGCATCACAGCGACAGGGGCTAAGGTAAATGAAAAGGATTAGCTAAAGTGTCCTTCCTTCCCAATCTTGTTTTGGCAAAAGCTACCCTCAGAACTTTCCATTTCGTCCTCGGACCCGCTGTTTTCTGCTAAACCCGGACGTAAATGACCGCGGTCGCTCGTACGAACATCGCCAGACTTCTTCCACGCTCCCGAAACATGGGCCTCCTTTGTATACAGCGCCCGACTTTGCTGTGCGTGCGCGCCTGTCTGAACAAGGCCATGCCCACTCGATGTCGCGTCAGCTACACGAGCAGTTCTTACAGCTCCAACTGCCGTTACACCGACAGCATACAGTTGGCATGCCCTATCGATCCAGATTCACGGCGATCTCTTGATCTCCTACGCTCACGTGCAGGTAGAGGCACGTACATACGGGGGCTGGGCGCCCTCTCCCGTTTAATCAGAGGGTGTGACTACGTATTATAGTGCCTAAACGTCGCGTGAAATACGCGAGAGTTTAGCTAAAACCTCGTGTGTGGCAAGACTTACTTTAACTAAAGCCGCATGACTTTCAGAGCTATAGACGCCGCAGAATTTGCATGCGCGTTACTTTAGCTAACGTCGACGACCAATGCTAAATGCATGGGTTTTTAGCTGTAGTAATGCTTTTTAGCTAAATGCAACGATGTATGCTAAAGTCATCCGCTATTTAGCTACATGCGCTGATTAGCTAAAGACGTGCGACGTTTGCTATAATCACACGAGGTTTAGCTGAACTCGCGTGGTATTATTTCACGTAACGTTTAATTAAGCTTGATCCAAAAAAAGTAGTTTTGAGACAAACGGCACTTCATAACACATCCTGCTATTGAGGGTATGTGCAAAACGTGTCTGAATAGCAGTTCGCAACAGAGCATCAAGGTATTTCTCCAGGGATGTGTAGAGGAAAGATGGATCAAACTCATGGTTTGTTCCCATGAGCGGTTTGGAAGATTATTGGTAAGTAAAAGTGTATGATTTGTGGCATACTTTTAAGACGTGTTCATGCTGTAAGCCAGTGTTACAACTCTCCATGCTCCCCAATACACTCTGTTTAAACAATGATGGCATCGAAGATCATCATTTCTGGTGATTAGAGACTGTCTGGGTCGATGTCTTCCAATGCACTGTCTCGGTCAACCATAGGATGAACAATGCCACTGACAACCTTTCTCTGGTTTTCTGTTACTCTTTCGTATAGTCTCAATACCTCTACAGACTTGTGCCCGGTCTGTTTTTGTTTAAAGTCACAATAATCATAGTACCAGAGCCTCTGGAACACCGCATAAAACGGCTGGTCTTTTTGCCGCGCTTCAACTGTTTAGCAAACCTGCTGACTATCCTGGACGTGGACTCATTCAGCTGTCGCGGCGCCAAGGGTTTGATGTATATACCTCTGGGGCATCAGTGGCTTTGGTAAGTGTTGGCGGCGTCAGTGGAGGGCCAAAAAATGCACGTGAGGTGTCTTGAAGGGGAAGATATTTCCCAGGGTCACCAAAAGGTGGCGTTTTATTTGTCATCAGAGGTCATGATCCCAGTTGAACTGCCTACACCGACCGTACCGTCTCTTTCTTCCCCGCGAGCTCTTGCATGAAAGGTGCCACATGATGTGAGCGATCCGATTGGTCTATTTTGGCACATTGTGGTTTTTGGCAATATATGGGGTATGACGTCATTAAAGTTCGCTAAGTGGGTGCTACTACTAGCCAACTAGACACACTCGCACAATGCAGAAAACAGTAAGACTATATCTTGTGTGAGGTGACAAAAGGACACTGAAGACAACACTTCAGTTTTTTACGTTGCCCTGGGACAAAAGAGTAATGCTGATTGCTCAGCAAACTGAAGCAGGGCTCAAAGTACAACACAATAATAGAGGCAGACACTACAATGTCTCATAATGAAAAAGCTATCCATGCCAGCACTTATGCGCTACAGGGTTGGCCGAAGTAATAAACAACCAACGAAGCTGTACTGACTACATGACATGAACTATATACCACTCATTAACTGCAAAATGTCGGTGTTTGCTGTAGTGAGCAACCTATGCAAGTGTCGCAAGTAGCTAAGCTCCATTATGGGATTTCCTCCTTCCCCAAATCTACCACTACAGTTTGAAGATGAAATTGAGTATCTATGAGTTGGGGAGGACTGAGGGAGGTGGGGTGTTACACTACAGCTAGTGAGTTGGCTTCTCTGTTGTACTGGTGTATGTTACACTATCCTCTCCTCAGTGGTACAAGTTGCTCACTCACACTCCCAAGTAAGTGGCATACAAAGGTATCTATCTAGGCCTTATTATACATAACCTTAACAGTGTCTCAAGTAAAAGTTCCGTTTCTCTTTTTCAGTTTTTGTAGCATTTCCCCCTAATAATTAGGCAGTTTCTGCTCATTATTTGCGCTAAAATCAGCTAATGCCATTATAGCTAAGTGTGAAAATATTGAGCAAAAGTGAATTTGACATATCTGACATATCAATGAAATCTTGCATACTCTTTTTTCAGGTGTGAAATTGTCTGTTTTCGCAAATGACCAAATGGTGTTAGTTGAAAGTCAATGAGTAAGATAGAGGAGAGTGCAATCCAATCACTCCATCACTGTCATTTTTCTGTGATTGGATGGATCTCGTATCATCCACATCTTCCATGCAGAACTGTACGTGCTCTTCATCCAAGTCACCTTCACTTCTGATTAACATATCTCCAGGCTCGCCGGTATAGTTATCGCAATAAACAGCTACGAGATGCCCGATCTTGATCTTTGATGTGTCTTCCACTCTAGTGCTTCCATGTTTTGAACCAGTGTACACCTGATGTAAGAGCATAACCATCCCATATCAAGCGGTAAAGGCCATTTTTCCAAGCTGCAGTCAATTAAGGGTCAATTAAGGGGAAAAACCTTCAAGGATAAACAAAATACTTAGTTCCAATTTTGTGGTTCCTTTGTGCTCCTAAAGTCATTAGTAACAATCAATGCGGTTAGGGTTAAGTAGACAGTTTTATAAGTGTGATTATGTGTGGTAATTCATGGTGCCATATAATCACTTTCCAGGTTTGATGGAGGTCACTGTAAAATCGTTTGAAAAGCCACCTTACGAAGAGATACTCTTGGTTGGCTAGTCATATTCTTCAAAATAAAAATTCTTACCATAAAATGCCTTTATGCCGCTTACTACGCAACGTAGATCCAATTTTCGTTGAGAGCCTCAAGAAATGTCTTCGAGAGGCCAGGCATTCCTCCCCTTACCGTAATGTGAACAACAAAGATGCTTTCAAAAGCCAGCTAAAAGGAAGTATATCATTACGAAGTTCTAGGCACACTGCATAGAGTCAAAGCACGACAGAGTCTATCTCAGAACATTTTGTCTGCAGAGCTTTCCACGGTTCACACTAATATTTACGTTGGGCTTTCAGATGAAGAGGCCCTGAGGCTCGCAGCACGACATAATATAAATGGGCATTACAACCATTAGATGACTCATCGTGATTATGTGAAATAAATTCTGTAGCCATATGCACGAGAAGGGAACTAACCCATTGTTAGACCAGGCCATAAAGACACTTTGCTGACATAGTGTTTTGCTGCACTCGTGGTTCTGAAGTATGTCCCTTGCATCCAGCATCTAGTGCAGACCATGCTCACAAAGCTGCAGTTTCCGTGATCTACTGATGACTATGCTGCAGCACGCACTCACTGCATGTACCGACGAAAGTGTTCTTGTGTACATTTTACATGTTTCTGAGCAAAATCAGAAACTTTTTAATGACCGAATGAGCTATGCACTAAAGTCAAATGGGAGTAAGCCAACCTAGTCTTCGCAACGAGGTAGGCGCTGCACATGTACTGACATTCTGATTGTAGGCACATCTGCACACTGGTGTTTAAATTTTTACACGTCTGCTTTTGGAAAGTGAGAGGAGTGACAACTAGTAAAGACACAGAGCTCGCAGGAGGCACTGTCTCGTGTCGGAGACAGTTGAAGAGAGAGACACGACTTTTTTGACGCTGTGACTGGCTGGCCTCTGAGCACAGAGAGCTTCGCCTATTACAACTACGTTCGATAATTATTACTCTATCAGTTGGTTGACTCCCGCTCATAAATAATGCAGTATACATGTTGTGCCTTTGTATACATTGTGTTTTTTGTGGGCGTATGTAGTGTGTGTGCCTTTTCCATCTGTCATCAAACTGATAATGTAGCACTTCACAGACATTACAAGCTGAACTCAGGCTGCTCTTTGGCTGAGTTAGCAGGGTGTGGTAACCTTTGTGCATCAATTGAGCATTTACATAGGTAGCAAGGAGTATGGCGAAATCTAAGTAAAAGAGCAGCCGGTGTTTGGATCACAGTTTTGACTGCTCACCTCTGGTGGCAAGATGAATGTGAATGACTCTGGGGAGTGTCGTTGCAAGTCACACCCTAGATCAGTCCGCGATTGTAACCATCTAACTCTCTCTGCTTCTCTTTGCCTACTTCCATCACTCTTATTTCTGTTCACTATCCCAGTGCTGTTGCTGTGCAATGAGTCACTATGATCCTTTGCACTCATAGCAAAAAACCAGGCTTGACAGGTCTCAACCTGTGATTCGCTTTATCTCAGACACATCCACTTTCCAAAAACTGAACACTTAAACCTAAAATCACATTTATGCCGTGTGTGGATCAAAAGTCGACCGTGGGTTATCAGGACCATATCCTTCAACAATATCAGTTTTCTGTTTGTGAAGTCGACGGTGTGCTTCAACCAACACCTAGGGCTTGTACCAAATATTTTTTCCTGAGGTAAGAGAAACAGAACTGGAGTGTAGGGATATGTCCCGCACTCAGCAAGACATTTTTAATCAAGCATGCTTTGAAAAGCAAGATGGGCAAAAGGTGATGAATGTGAGCTGAAGGACCAGAAACTCAATCGAAAGCAGCTAATGTCCACTCCTGAGTTAAAGCAGCATCTTCTGCAAGCAATACACAACCTTCCAGCTGACTTTCAGGCAACTGTTCTTCAGCAGGTCAATGACAACGAGCTCTCTCTCACGGAAATGAAATCTGCAGCTGTCTTCTTCAGATCGATGAAGCAAATTCGCCGGTCATTCGTTCACCTTACTAGCCACTGTCCATTTTCCTGAGTTTTAAGCAGAAAAACGTCTTGAGCTGTTTCTGCCACTTAGTTTTAAGCAAGGTCCACCAGAAGTGTTTAGAAACTATTGTGATGCAGCTCTTGCTAGCAACAATGTCCAGACTGCTGGAGATTGAAGTTGAAGTTCTATAATTGTTGTTTGCTCCACCTTTAGTACTTTGCCAGCTCAAACGACCCGACCTACACTGGTGCCCACCTCATTGCTACTGCACTTCCTCGTGTATGTTTTGTGCATCATTTGGCTTGTCTCTTTACAGTACCAGTAGTCCAAATCATTGTGTATATCAAATCCACTGTCACTTTAATTTCTTACAATGCAGCCTTGCACTGAAGATGAGATGGAGAGTATGGCTTACGCAGGTCGCCAGTTGAACAGTAGCTGTGGCGCAGTCCATTTTAAAAAAATGGCTGTTCTTTGTCACCATCATCACTGACGGCCTTAATGAAGCGCTGTTGAAGTAGCATATGCCTACAAAAATGCACACCACTAAGTAAGTGTGCATTGTTAAACATTTTCATGCTTATCACAAAACCTTTTATGTTTACAGAGTCAATACCCGGTGTATGTCTCGTTCCAGCACTTATGATTGGGCATTGGCTACAAGATAGCCAACTCCATCGTGATAGTGAAGGACATCACAATGTGTTTGTTTTTCAGTCCCACGAGGATCTCATTAATGAGCTGATTACTCTGTTCACTTTTGAAGGCCAGACTGTTGTTGATGGACGGAATGATGCAAGGAGCTATAGTGTCACTTCTCCTTTGTGACCAGTAAAAGTATAACAAAAACGAGTGCACTTATTTGTTTCTTTTTAAAAATGCTTGCACAGTATATGTGGTTCTATTGTGCCTTGCTTTGCAGTCTCGTTTATCTAAAGTGCCAGAAACTATTTCCAGGGTAAAGAATTGTCAATCTTTTTCTGTTCCAGATGCAATCTGCATCGTTGCAGTGACAAGGCTTTACATCTCCAGTTTAGCAGTGAACCCAGTCTTACTATTGCATCTGCCACCAAAGGGGCGTATGCTTGTTTTGAGGAAATGATAAGAGTGTAATCAAAGCAAGCTCACGAGTACGGCCATTGAAATGTGGTAAGTATTCACTATCATGCTGCCCCAGTGTATGAATTTTGATGCATCAATTCATGCATGCTTAATTCTAGCATGATATAAATTGGCACACCTTCATTTCTTTGATCAAAAGGTCCAATTTGGTTCTGTACTACCAAAGACCATGGAAGTCCTGCTGAAAGTACTGCTGATGATTATGCTAGTGTTTCTCATCATATGTCGTGGTGGTATGAAACACTTCATGCAGAACGATCACCAAGGAGAGAATATCGGTTCATCGTATATACACAGAAAATCAATGAGAGTCATGGGGCAATCTGAAGAAGTTGACAAGAAACACGATCTGAGATTCATACATGGATTTATTATCTCAATGAAGCCATTTAAATAAGCAAAGATATATGTGAAGCATAATCCAATTCTGTCAGAGTTCCGACATGGCCAGAACAATCTGTGAAAAAATTCTCAATGCAGTCAACCAATAATGCTTATTGAACAAGTTTAATACAGAGCTATGCCAGTTTCTAACTCTTCTTAAATTGTCAGAAAAACTACATTTTTAGCATGTCTCCAGACTTACATTCTTACTATATATGCCAGTCTAACAACAAGGGGTGTGTTACGTGCAGTCACATCCATTCTAAATGTATCTGCCACAGTGGCAAGGTATGCAAACAAACCAGGTGTGGCTGCAGAGGTTCCAAACTCCACAAATCAATTAGTTCCAATCAGAACCGAACATGAACAAGCCACAGTGGAACCTGGATTCTCCACAGGGGTCCCAGATGAACCTTAATTTTCCTCAAGGTCCCCAAACACAGCAAAGGAACCAGAGGGCTCCAAGTTGCAACGGTATAAAATGAACCAAGATTGGTCCCAATCAAAAATGAGTTTGACAGAAGTATTCCAACCACAGCTCCAAGAGATAACATGTGTACATATGTTGAAGGGTTGGCAGGACTTGGTCGAAGTTCACACATTACCAATTAGTAAAGGAGCATCATTACGTGCGGAAAATGTAATCCTTTTTGACTGTGGCAGTGTCAGCGAAAATGTCTCAACAACTACAAGTTCCTTCAGTAATGTTTCGAAAAAGCTCAGTTTCTAGCAATTCTGATTTCACATGGACATAGAGACCACTACAATGAAAAGCACTAAAGTGCAAACCCTCAGCGAACTGCGCATGCGCAGTGCCACTAATTGATGGGCTGGGCTTTTAGTATGCCTTTACTCGTGGTCTCCCCCTAGTAGCTCGCGGAGAGTCTGACACGGGCTAGCTACAGTACATACGGGAGTGGATACACGCCCTTCGTTGTGACTTCTTGTGCCTTCAAGATACACAGAGCGAGCGGACGCGTTTCTCTTGTTTTCGTCGGAGAATGTGTGTGTACCAAGAAATTCCACAGGACTCTGCGCTTGCGAAATGCAAAAAATGGCAAGTGCAGCTTTTTAAACTCTATCGGTAAACATCAAAGTCCAACACAAGAAGTTTTGTATCTTCAATACCATTCCTGCTACCCACAGCACACACGAGTTTTCTGTCTGAGCATTTTACTCGCCAAACAACACCTCCTATATCAAGAAAAGCAGAATGATCTATTAATTTTGTCTGATGCCCTATGAAAGTTTTTATCAGCTAACACCTCAATATTCGATATCCTTAAGTTAATGCAGAATTGGAAATGTGAAAAAGGGAGACAAGGTAAGGATAGAGAATAACGGACAGCATGTGAACACACTTATGCCCATCACACAATTCCTACCTAGGGTGCCTCTCAAACATGGTAGTGGTTGCACCATACAATGACACTTTACACTCTATTGCCTTACAACATCAAAGGAAAAAGTACTACTACCCTTTCAGAGACCCCCTTGTCAACCCCCCCGCATTCCAGACCGCATTATGCAGGCATGGACACTACACTGCATTCATGTGCACCCCTTGTGGACGACCACCCCACGTATGCAACCAGCGACCGTAGATTTCAGGTGAATTTACGACCTCATGTGACCTAGAGCATGGCCGGGTGCAGTCAAGAGTCGAGATGCCATGTCTAGAAGGTTTTGAGCCTGGAGGAGAGGGTAGCAGGCCTTTGAAACATCTAGGATTGGTGGTATCACCAATCACAAATGGTGTCAACTTTTCTCCAGCAGAATAGGCAAGCAAAACAGTTATTCTCTCCTTCCACCTTTTGCTTCCTCACCTTTGACTGACATTGACTTGGTAGGCAGAGCTCGGTAGAAGAGACCTGTTTCGTCTACGTTGAAAATCTCCCTTAGCTGGTAACCTTTGCACACTGACTCAAGATGTCATTTACCACACTCTCACTCACATCGGCAGCTTCACCAGATAAGGTAGCCATTCAAACATTATGTCGTTTCTGCCACCGATCGAACCATCCATTCGATCCTGAAATCCTTTGTGACCAAGCTTTGCTGCATATAAAGGAGCTTGTTCATGAATCATCTGGCCATTCACTGGCAAAAAGGGTGAATGTTCTTGATGCAATAATGTGGTTGAAGGCTGCCTGGGACAATGTTAAACCCACAACAATTCAAAAGTGCTTTACCATAGTGTTGTTTCACCCGAGCTGTTTTTGCTGATCCAGAGGAAGACACTACATGTACCATTGACAATAGTATGGGTGCTTTCGTGGAAACTTGTGGAGTTTCCTGGGAAGTGTATGCAAATTTTGATCAGGATCTTGCTACAAACAGGACAATTGGGGACTTTTCACTATCTCGTCACTGAATTGCTGGAACTAATCAGTAAAAGCAGGACTGCTATAGAAAAGCTCGTGCAATCCAGATCGCTTGAAGCTAAGTGACTTTTTTTTTTACAAAAAATGCTTCCTACATGTTCATACTGTAGAACTTGTTCACAACAGCTCCTTAAATTTATTGTTGTGTAATTGTATAGTTAAATAGCATGTGGTCTCTGCACAAAAACTAATACTGTATGTAGTTAGCTCCACCCACTGGCCACACCTCCCCTTGGTCACAGACACCCCTTGTGGAAGACTAGAACCGTAGGGTGGTCTCTGAATAGGGGGACTACTGTAGATACTGTAGATACTGCAGCTGCAGCTAACCGCTGTAATAACATAGACAGTGGTTAAGCGGGATTAGGGGAAATGTTAGAAAATAAAGAACAGTTATGGAAAATGGGGAATAGTTAGGGAAAATAGAGAACAGTTATGGGAAATAGAGAACAGTTGATGAGTTTTGCAAGACTACAAACCAATTAAAGTACCGTCTTTGCTTGTACTCTATGGATAATATTGAGCTTGAGGGAAAGTTTTCGAAGCTAATGTAACACTTCCCTGTGCCCAATAATTTCCGTAGAGTACTCACGGTGGTACTTTAAATAGTACACTTAGTACAATCATAGTACATTATTGTCACCTGTTTTGTTAAAGATTTGGCTTATCCTGAAACATAAACTGGTGAATGTCTTGTTAACCAACAATAGGGATAGATCGGGGCAGTGTACTCACAATCTGTTCATAAACCTATTATTATGACTATCTGTCTCTCTTCATCAACCCCCATTGCGTATTCTAGGGTTATGGTGCTTCAGTCTGATGGTCTGTTACACATTCTCCGCCGCCACATGCAACAAGCCGGCCAAAGTGTGACACTTACACTGGCTCAATTTGTTCCCGTCTAAACACAGCGTTCCAATGCACAAGAACCAAGACAAGCCAATATGCGAATTACTACTGGCGTACTTCGACTGCATTCGGCGTGTTAGAATTTACAGCGTTTGGAGGAGATTGCGTTGTGTGTTGGGAAGTTGAAGAAAAACAAGACTGATGGTAGTGACAGGCTTGTGGGGTAGCTTCTTAAATATGGTGGGTCAGTGATCATAGAGTTGCTTCAACAGTTGTTTACAGTAACTTGGTGTGCAAAGTTTGTGCCACCACAGTGGAGGGAGGGCCTCATAGTTAACTTGTTTAAGAAGTGAGATAAGGAGGATCCTTGGAATTATAGGGGCATCGCTCTGCTGAGTGTGGTTGGGAAGGTCTTTTGTAAGATTTTGAACGATAGGTTGGTGAAGCATCTGCACCGAGCATTGCATGAGGGTCAAGCTGGTTCTATATAGGTAATAGGTAGCTATCCAAGAAGTTTTATTTATCAGGAATGGAATTATAAGCCACGACAAGGCAGGCAGAGGCAGTGCTGGAGTAAGGTCATTGATGATCTCTTTTAATTACTAAGGTAAGGTCATTGATGATCTCTTTTTATCATTAGGTCTTGAGTGGTTGCATGATAGTCAAAATGCTCCTTGAAGGGTCAGTATTACTGAGAGAGAGATTGAAATAGCAAAGTAAAGCTGTCGTTGTATAAGACGTTTAACAAAGGTGTAGAGTCAAAAAATAATTTGCATGGGTCCAGCGATGCTGGGTCAAGAATAATGTTTAAGTTGAGGTCGGGCACGCATGGGCTAAATGAGGAGCTGTGTAGGCATATGGGGAGAGAGGAGATGAAGGAATGCCAGTTGTGTGATGATGAGTGTGAAAGTGCGAGTGTTGTGGGAGTGTCCAGCAATTTCTTTAGTTGCTCTGCAGGGGAAGCTTTGGGGTTGGTTTGGGCATTTCCAGTCGCTCAATAGTGTCAGGAAAGCATCATTTATTTTGGGTAGTGAGCAGTAGGAGGATAAATTTGGTACTCTGCTTGACCTCGCTTTATTTTAGATGTTTGAAAGCTAAGAAAGTTAAGGCTACACGGCAATAATCCCAGTGTACAACAGTACCGGTCTCAGATTGAGTCTGGGGAGCTGCAGGGTGTCCCTGGTGGAATAGGCGAGTTGAGGTGTCTCGGAGGTGAGAACACTACCATGAGACGGACACCAGCGTGGCTGTATGTTCATTTGGTGTGTGGTTAATTGTCATTGGTTCCGCCCATTGCTCTGGGTGCGTGGTCGATGGCCCTAGTGCTATGGCTGCAACCTCAGTATTATTATTACTATTACAGATGACAGGGAGAGCTGGGTGAAGAGAGAGACAGACACTGTTGTGCTTCAGAAACTGGAGGCCTGACAGTGACGACTCGTGTCCAGTACAAGGTTAGTGAAGCGATCGGGACAGAGGTAAGTTTAGCATCTAAAAAGCAATGAGGGCCAGGGAGGTGGCCCAAAGATTTACCACAGAGGTATGGAATGTCTGTTGAAGGTGATCGTGGTAGTGTCCTCATCATACGAAGCACGGAACCACAGCATCATGCAAAAGTAGTTGAACTCAAGGCTTGGTTGTGTCTACACTGGGATAGGTGTGTGATCCTGGTACCATCAGCTTCTACTATGGGCAATGGTCAAACACTGCAGGTTTATTCAGATTAACGGCTAGTTTCATTTGCTACGAAATCCAACAATTCTTTCCCAACAAGCTTACCACAGTGAGCTTGGTTAAAAAGACTCTTTATGCTTTACATTAGTACATTACCATTTCCTCCACTGTCCAGGTTAACAAGGTTTCTCACAAACTCCCCTGTCTTGAGATCCCAGAGCTTAACGCTGCCATCATCACTGCTGGTAACAACGAAGTTGTCTGTAAATTGCAAACTGGTAACTGCACTTTGGTGCTTATTGGAGCCTTTCAAAGTGTGCAGACAGTGTCCAGTAGTAATATCCCATACCTGCAATAGTAAAAAATGATACTAAAATGAAGGAAAAAAAACGCATTACAAATTGAAGCTCACAGCCACAATGCACACAACTTCTTGTAAACTGCTATTTTGCATCCTACGTATTATATGTATGTATGTAGGTGATTATCGTTCGGTAAAAGTGAAAGAGTTGCGATGGTTGGTTATTGGTATTCTTTATGCTAAACACAATGTGACAATAATGGTCTGTGACAGATGTTTAAAGCGTTACTACACAGTCAGCCAACACAACATACTTCTACTACAGTGCAGTACATGATTGCTGGAGGAAGTGCTCTTGGTGGTGGCTCTGGAGAAAGAGAGGCATAGGTGGAGTCTGGCTGTACTCTGTCCACTGTCACAGTCTGTAAAATACCTGCTGCACACATGTGTTAGTCAGTACCATCTATGGATGATTTACTGTTGATTTACCAGTGGTGTCCCACTAGCTTTTCGGATTGCTACACTAGTAGAATGTGCTTTAAACATCATGGGGCATGATTGATGCTCACCCTTCTGTTATAACTTGTAGTGCACCCACAGTGCAAAAAAACACTCAGGAAACGCCATTACAAATTGGCTTGTTGTCTTGGTTTTTTTACACAATCTTTCTTTTGCATTTTTGCTCATTCAGCATTAGTTTGACTGAGAAGTCCGACTTTCCCATGCCGAAGTAGATCGGCATGTTCCAGCACCACACAGGCATATTCAACAAACTGCACAACTACACCGAACGCTTTGGTCTGACACCGCACATCAGGCTCAGCACAGAAGTAGAGAAGGCAGAGGAGAGAGGTGACCACCTTGAGTTCCAGATGTAAACACAATCATTCAATCTTTTCACTCAGATCCTGCACGCATGGCAGAAAGAGTGCCGCGGCTTGTAGTCGTCTTCTTTCATTGCTGCTGGTTGCTGTCTGGGTCAAAGTTCGAGGGTCTTTCTTGTGAAGTGGAACGATATCTATTCATGGGAAACACTCTGTGCATATGGACGAACTCAGCTGTTTGTGTTGTTGATGTGATAGGCCCTGTCCCTGGGAAACTGGATTGTGCCTCTTAGAGAACTATTACAAAGTTCACAACTAGCTTTGACTCAGTGATAGAGTAATGAGTCCCTGTAGCATACTTCTTCACCCTAAAGTTAGCACGTATGAAGATAATACTACATCATTGCTATGACAGTTTCATGTTGATAAACAAGCGTCTGGCACTTCTTCTCAGTTATTAACCCTCGGCGCACATGTGCAGTGAGGGTTGCGGTTTGTGTCTGTCCTTCCTTATGTCTGTTAGCATGTTTTCTGCCACCACATCCAACAAGACAACAAAATAACCATACAAACAGGTCCATTGCTGCACTGGCTTGATTAAATTTTCGTAAAAGTACTCCGTTACAAAATTATATCCAAGTTCACCAGTTTTACAACGATGCATTCTTAGCCCTCTACAGACTCTTTTGCCATTCCTCACACTACATCATTCACTAAATAAACTCATGTCATGAGTAAGAGTGGCGACAAAATAGGGGTGGTTTGGAGGAAAATTTCATGAGCACACAATGTGAGTTTGAGTATTGAGCCATTATCCCTTGTACTACTGCATCACATACACTAGCTCTTGTCTCCTTGCTTTTTATACCATCCCTATATTCACCATTTTCTCAGTTTGAAGAATATTTATTCACTCGTCTTCTTTCCTTTATTGATGCATTCACATCCATGGTAGGGGCATAATGTAAAAAAGAGCAACTTGGTGTTCCAGTCAAACCGCTCAGCATTATTAGTGGCCTTATGTGTTTAGCCTGTTTGCCGTCGTTTACATGCTTCTTTCATCGTAGTGCATAAGTGCGTACCAATTTTCATTGTTAAGGACCCAGCATTTAAAAGTTTTTTTGGCCTGAGCGTGTTATTGTTGTTTACAACCTTGTAATTTATGTTTCTATGGACTCTTATATATAATAGTGGTCGAATTATCTACGTAGATGACGTGTGCATACACAGGCCAATATCCTCTCACACGGACTTTAGATATGTGCAGCATGATACTGAAGCGGTTGAGGAGTGGTCGAATGAAAACTCCCTAACTCTCAATCCATCTAAGAGCAAGTATATGCTCATTTCCTGAAAGAGGACCCCAAGTACACCCGATACCTTCCCCTACAAAAGGTTAATAATTTTAAGTCTGTTGGTGTGTTACTATCCCAGGACATGTCATGGTCTACACACATACAAAAAATCAGTTGAAAGGCAAGAAAGGTCCTTGGGCTACTTTATCGAAAGTTCTACGGATCTTTTAACTCACAACAGCTCTACATTTCACACATCTTAAGTAGGCCTATCCATTTGTTGCGCTTGCTCCATCTGAGACAAACATCACGGTAGTTTGTGTCGTGGTCACCAATGTAGCAGCAATTGCTTTTCACTACAGCAACCTAAGCTAAATATGCCACAGAAAAAAGCTGGCACATTGTCTAGTGTACATACATGCTCACACTACGATGCAATGGAAAGAGTGAAATTGACATTGTATACCTTGACATTGGAATCAGCATTTCCGGACACAAGAATGTTCTTTCGTAGCTGCATCCCACTTGTCAGTGATTGATGTCCTACACGGTGAACATACATAAAACTGTTTATAGAACGGGGTACAAAATTGTGGGATGCTAGAACTCTTTTCTTAGCCCAAATCTTGGTCATACTGCAAGCAACAAGACATATCAACAGGACCCGTAATAAATTCCAGACAACTACATTCATGTGCACGCCCACATGACATTACTACATGATAAATGCTCAAAATATCTAAGGTTTTGTAAGACTTAAGTTAAGGTTAATAAGAACTAGTCTCTAAGGAGCATTTTTTATTTTATCGCCACTTATGCGTTCCAGAAAACAAAACAGTTCCATAAGGAGTGTACACATTTTAGCATGTCCAAACGTTCTGCTTTGTGTTGCACTAGTTTATATGAGGTCTGGACTCTGCAGGCACGTAACACTCACCTTGGTGACTGTGTGACACGCCAACAATGGATGCTGAGGGTGGTACACCAGGAGAAGATATCAAACGGTTTATAGAACTGTACAAAATTGTGGGATGCTAGAACTCTTTTCTTAGCCCAAATCTTGGTCATACTGCAAGCAACAAGACATATCAACAGGACCCGTAATAAATTTCAGACAACTACATTCATGTGACTCCCACATGACATTACTACATGATAAATGCTCAAAAATATCTAATGGTTTTGTAAGACTTAAGTTAAGGTTAATAATAATAGTCTAAGGAGCATTTTTTATTTTATCGCCCACTTATGGTTCACAGAAAACAAAACAGTCCATAAGGAGTGTACACATTTTAGCATGTCCAAACGTTCTGCTTTGTTGTTGCACTAGTTTATATGAAGGTTCTGGCTCTGCAGGCACGTAACATCACCTTGGTGACATGTGTGAACACGCCACAATGGATGATGAGGGTACCACCAGGAGAAGATATCAGGATCGAGAAAATCTTTATATTTGTACCAGAGTAAGTGAAACAAAAACTTTCCAACATTTCGACCCTGTCACAAGGATGTTCCTCAGGGATGATTGGTACAAACACTGGAAAGGGCTACAATACATACACGACCGTATAACGAAAAACTGCATCTCTCTCTGATTCTTGCACCAGGCAAAGGACAATCTACGGTAATTTTGAATACAGCAGCTTATGAGAAAAAAAGCCATCACCCTTCTTCAAGGGGATCAGTACAGTCTATTGGTGCAAGATCCTACAATGAAATATAAAAGAAAGCTAATCAGGTTGTTACTCAGAGAAGAACTATGTTTATTCTTCCTTCAGGCAGCCAGATTTCATCTTTTTATGGTTGGCCAAAAGTCCACAAACTTGACATCCCCCTTCGCCCTACTGTTTCTACTATTGGTTCTGTTAGCTACAACTTGTCCTAGTTTTTGACTCCTATTATTTGGTGGTACAGAACATTATGTGTTAAATTCGTTCAAGTACACTGAATCTATAAAAGAAGAATGTCTAACTCTTAATGAGGTCATGGTGTATTGATATCGAGTCTCTTTTACCAGTATACCAACAAGGAGGTTATCTCTTGATAGACCCTAACACCAATTGATATTGTTAGGTTAGTAAAATTCAGTTTGACATCAACGTATTTCCGTTTTAAGGAAACTGTGAGGGAGTAGACTTATCACGCATGCGTATGTATTTTTACTTACCTGCAATTTTGTTTAGTCATGTCATCTGTACTGTGATTGGTCAGTAGCACATGGTAGGACATGGGTCGTCAGTCGGAGAGTTTTTGTATCGCGTGTCAGTGCGTCTGTCGCCGATAGTAGGTCACATCTGTGTGTGTCACAGGACGGTGCTTTTATCCTCATTAACTGTAATATTTTACTAGACTGTGCCGCGGCACCATTACAGAAACACTATACCATCAGAAAGACTGCCGAAAACTAAGCATAACAGTCCTCCCGAAAGAGCCTTATAAGATATATGGATGATGTATTTGCAGTTGTCAGAGCTCGAACCCTGAAGCTTTTTCTAGACTCTTTGAGACTAGGTGTTATCAATTTCTCACATGAGGTGGAACAGATACCTCTTTTGATGTTATTATCACAAGATTACATAATGGCTATTTGTCTTGTAGTGTGGAAAGAAAACCCCCTCATACAGACCGGCTGCATAACTACACTAGTCACCATCCAATGTCAGTGAAGAGATCTGTGGTCTCAACTCTGTTCAATACTCTTTAATACTGTTCAATAGACTCAACACCATCCCATATCACTGCAAGAGGGAAGAGAGTACATCTTAGGAAGGTGTTTAGGGCCAATCAGTACTCCACATTTGTATGGAAGAATTTACATCTAAAATCTCCTGTGAATCTGCCTTTTAAAATAGTGTGTATTCCATGGAACTATGGATTTTAGGTGAACTTATATACAATATGTGCACTACTCTCTACGCTACTCTCTACACTACACTCAAAAGCATTCTCTCCCACCCCAAGTATAAAACCCCACCCCTAGGGAGATCTGGAATTGATTACTCAATCGCGCCCAGATTTTACATTGGGGAGACAGGATTGCAGTTATCCATCAGAGTTAAACAGCACAAAAAAGCAATTAGAAGGGGAGAAACAGAAAGGTCAGCTGTTGCTGAACACGTTTGGTTGAAGCAACTGGGACAGTGTCTGTATTTGTCCATGTTGACAGTGCCAGAATTCCAAGGAAGATAAGTGAAGCGTTGCACACCAGGACACATAAAGGCAGACTAATGAACAGAAACAGTGGTTTACACGTGTCATTGATGTGGGATCATCTCTTAAGAGCTAGTGTATATTTAGCCTCTTCCAGTTTTTGTACCAATTATCCCTGGAGGAAGATCCTTGTGAGAGGGTCGAAACATTGGAAAGTTTTGTTTGACTTACGCTGGTACAAATAAAGTTTTTCTCGATAGCAATACGTATATCCAGAGAAAAAAAATTATGTGACTTACATCCAATCAATTCCTTCAATTTGATCACATGCACACCGTTATAATGAACTGAAAAGTGTGCATTAAATGGTCAATGCACTGAAAAGTGTGGTTAATGCACTCTTTTTTGGCAGCGCAGTACAGACTAGTATGTTGCTGAGCGACGCTCCATACACGCACGTGGTTCGTACAGCGCCACAGCAATTGTGATAGTTTTGAATCTGACAGAGAAAGAGGAAAACGCTGGCGCTCACGTTGTAGACATCACACACGAAGGGCAGAGCTTTATAACAACACAACTGACAAACGATCACTGTTATCACAGCTTGCAACAATGCGCAAACTCTCCTTCAAAAGCATGCAGCTATGTCTCACGCACTACAGACACACACTTGCATGTCTGTCTACTCGAAGAATTGGCTGGAAAAGCTGTGCTAAAGTTAAAACGCAGCCTCGAATCTGACTGAGTGAAGTCAAATGCATCAACGAAATGTTCAGAACGCACAATGTACTGTATTATACAGTTTCTAATTAGCGTGCTCGGCCGATGTGATAACAATCTTGATTCCATAATGCACTCTCTTGTGACTATGTAACATCGATCATTATCACATCTTCCCCACACACAGACTTCACTGTAAAATGCACTGCAGAGTGTGTTCCAATTGTAGTAGATAAATAATCGTGAATTAGGAGACGAATAACGTGCACCAAGGGTTGAAACAAAGCCGAAAATAAGCACCAATAAAAATGGGGCCAGGGACCCCAAAAAGGGCAGGTAAAAATATAATTTTTGCATGCAAGCTATTAAATTTGTCTGGTGCCTCCTTCAAAGTTCAACAACTAGTGATATACCTGTAAGAGTATGGATACACCTTCCTGAATCTGCATTCCACACTCGTATTGAGGTGTCTAGTGAACCACTGACAATGTGCACCCCATCAAACTAATGAATAAAGTACAGCATGCACTGTTATGAAAAAGGGAGGAAAAAGTACTCACACACAATGTAGTAACCAAAAGTGCACTATCAAGTGCTTCCGGGAAGGTTTCCCACTGGTTTTCTCAATATAATATGGAGGAGAATATTCACTCGACTGACTACAAATTCATAAACTTTGGTCATAACATTAAAAACCATGCCCGATAGGCCAAGATTAATAGAATTCACAGTACACACTTCAACCTTGTATATCATTTGGCACATGTATCTGCTTCTCACACTGCCCCTAAACCCTTATAATGTGACAACAATGACGTAAAAGGGCAAAGACAAAGCAAACAAGTAAACTGCACCCATGACAACTCTCTTTTTTCAAGGAAAAAGAAGCTACTCTAGATGGGATTCGACTCAACGACACTCTGCTCTCTATGCGAGCACTCCACCAACTGAGCTACCAGGGCACATCAACTGGTAGGGGTTCGAATCTTCAACAACACAAGACAAAAGCAAACCACAAAACCACTGTGTTATGGCACAGTATACTTTCACTCAGTATGTAGGAGTCGAGCGGGAAATTTAACCACCAAAGAAGCCCAACTCTAAACTGAGTATAATATGCATGTGACAACATGTTAGTGTACGTACCTTCTGAGCTGTAGCAATTCATGCAGTAGCACATACCACCAATGCAATATAATGACTGCCAATTAGGTAAATAGACTGCTTCGACACCACCCTTCTGTACATACACGATTGACAACTGGACCTTATTGGAGGAATTTTAGAGGTTTTGCACGCTCACAAATGTGCTTGTAGTCATTATGCGGGAAGAGCATCTCTTAGTTGCCCGTTAAGAGCAAAAACAGTTCCTGGTGCTCTTTCTGTTGCATGCCAAGAGCAAAAAACACCACTTATTTTTGACTGGCCATAATGCGTGGTTAATGTACACTTTTGCCAGTCAGAGGTCATGACATGGTAATGGAAACTGTCTAATGTAAATATGCTGTTGAGCAAAGGTTGAAGGTCATTCCAGAATTTCTGAAACTTGCCCTTGGCTATAGCACAACCTAATGTAGTATGCAATTTTTTTAGCCCAATTTCAGGCACCGGATGTAGACACTCTTAAAGAACGAAGTCTCTCTGAACTTTGACATTATTGCGACTATTATCGTTACTTATACATGTAGGATAGCAAGATATAGTTTACCATACACTGCCAAGGTGTGATTAAGTTCATGAGAATTGTATAAACCAAATGTTGGTAGATGCTGTTTCACTAAAAACAAGTTTATAACAAGTTTATAAAGGTTTCATGAGTCACATGACTCCATACTTAGCAAGCATGCAAATACCTCAGGTCAATGAGAGCAAAGCAATTACCTGTAAAGAGTAGACTCTATTGGTGTGGCCCTGCAAAATGTGAAGACATTGTCCTTCCACAGGGTCCCATACCCTTACTAAGTAGTCATAGGCACCACTGACAACTCTGCAACCATCATACTGAACGCTAAGGTATAAAATTTAACTCATAAGTCTCTCTCATCTTACTAGAGGAATGCAATGCATTGTTGGTGAGTGAGGACGAGCAGTTCAATATGTTGCACGTGTTTTGCGTGGAACTTCACGGTACGTACAGTGCCTGTGCAGTGCCTGTCACATTATAGACAAAGAGAATATTCCCACATTGAAACGACTAGGTAGGCTTGCTTTGCTCCCCAATAATAGTGCATGTAACACATTTTTGGCAAGTGAATGTTAAATTTAGCCCTACATCTGAAGAGTAAACTCCCGGTACACTAGAAAAACACGCTTGTGCACACATATGCACACATGCAACGGTTTGTACCGCTAATTGACGGGCAACATGATGTTGATAATTTATTCATGCTCTCTCACTAGCTTGCTTAGACTATTAGATAGAATGAAGGAATTGATACTTGCTTCCTTTGTCATTCAAAGGGAATGTGACAGTTAAACGGTTACTAAAAAGAATTGTATTCTTTCACTGGGCCCCATCGTTTAGTTCCATCTTTAGCAACATTTCTATCCTTATGCACTATCACATTCCCTTCAAGGTACACACAGAAAGAAGGTCCAGTTGAACATAGCCAGTGCTAATTTGCATATTATTGTCTTGTCCAGGTGGTTTAAGGGTACAACTTTTTTTGTTGCCATTCTTATAGTTCAGCCATCAAAAGCATAGGTGGTGGTCGTGGAACTATTTTTACTTACATCGCTTGAATACTACTTTTGTGATTTCTTCAGATTTTCTAGGCCTTGTTTTAACAAACTTATCATGTATCTCCCCTTACCATGAAAAGAAAAACCGGTGTGCGACTTCACGGGGAGCGAATGCTTTTCGCTATTACGCGAAGCTGCTTTCTCTGCATCCTACAGTATGTGCAGACCCAAGTTTGAAAGGTTAAAATAATGTAATGGTCAGAATGTACCAATGCTCACTATTTGTGATGGCTGCAATAAGCTTGCTATACAAGAGTGAAAAAACCAGCATGAAACCAGCCAGAGGTCACCCACACATCAATGCATATGTGCGCATTGCGTGCGTTCTACAGTTGTTGGTAGACAAATAATTATTGCTCAAAGCATAAAAATCCCTGCATGTCCTACATAATAGCTGACATGGCAGAACATGGAACAGGAATTCTCTCAAACCAACACCATAGAACGAGCGCAACGCAATTGCGCATGTATGTGCGGATTCCTGTGTGACTTCTAATTAATACCTGGAAAAAGAATAAAAGAGAGACAAACTTAAACAACAATTAATAGGAATGGTATCAAGGGATAGGATACAAGGAAGACCAATTACATGTGATACAGGAGTACGTAGAATGGATGAGGCTAAACACTGACATTACTTGTTCGCACACAAGCCATATGTTTATGCCAGGACATCAGACAAGGAATTAATTAAGTGGAGATATAGCAGTACAAAATGTGGGTGGTTGGAATTCTAAGGCTGCAAACAATGTAGTTTCATGTAAAACTAAAAACAAAGGGGCTGTCACAGAGGACAACACTTTAGGAAACGAGACATACCTGCATAGGAGCACACTCATGCTTCGCAACAATATAGGGCTTGTGTGGTGAGCAGTCATCTACTGTTCTACTACATAACATGAACTAGGTCATTCCTGTCTTGTCACCTTCCTCTTTATTCATTCGTTAACCTGAAGTGTATATGTGACGAACTATGACAATAGGTGTGCATCAGTTAGAGATTAGACTATAAACACAGTGCGCATTTTCATTTTTGTCAGTCTCTGAGTCGCTGTCTGTCGTGTATGTATCCGTAAGTGGATGTACTCATATCGGTAATCATGCTAACTTACATGTCTTACTGAATATCTGGTCAGCTGGAATGCTACATTTGGGGGCCAGTCCGGGAACTACGGTTTGCGGAGACTAAAGACTTCGACCGCGACATCAGCGCAGCCGACGACAAGAATGAGGCTGGAGGCTCTGCGCACAGAGCTGGACGCCGTGAAGGTCGAAAAGGAACGACTGGAGGCCGAAAACGCCAAACTTCGAGATGGAAGCGGCGGCAGAGACGGGAAGTCCGACGCGAGGGTGACGAAACTCGAGGCAGAACAGGACGGCTTGACCGAGGAGTGCCGAAAGCTCCGGACGCTCTACGAGGGAGTGCTACGCGAGATGCAAAAGGAGCAGGAAAAGGTGGCTGGAGAGTCAAGCGAACTCCGACGGACCATCTCTACGCTCGAAACATTGCAAAAGGAAGCGGTACAACGCCTGGGAGAGCAACAGCAGGAGACGGCCAAACTCCACGTGGAACTAAAGAGACTAGGGGCGCAGATGGAGCTGGAGCAGTTGCGTGCAGTAGCGGAAGAGAAAGAGAAGTGGGAAGCCAGGGAAGACCGACTTCTAGGGCTGCTACAACAGTTACAAACCCGTCGCGGCCAGATGTCTGGCCTTTATTCTGCTGTACATCCGACGCTAAAACCCACTGTACAACCCACAATACATCCCACTGACACTACAGAGGGAGTTGTGCGTTTTGCATCTGGCCGTACAACATAGAGCCTACCACTGGAACTCTCTCAACAAGTGATGTGGGAGGGGAGGAGAGTGGAGGTGAGGGGGAGGGGAGTGGGAGTGGTCAGGGGGAGAACAGCTCTGCGGGGAGTAGTGACTCTGAGGAAGGTGGGGGAGGTACTGTGGTAGGGGGAAGCAGGTGGTGGTGTAAGGAGACGTTCCATCGGGGGAATAAGCAACTTGAGGAACGACGTCCGTCATCCAGCGTCACGGACAGCTCGTCCACTGGTCGCACAGCCACTATCGTCACACACAGCTCGTGCACTAGTCGCACAGCAATTGCCTCCGTTATCTAAGTTCACTGGCGAGGCGATGGAGGGGGTGAGACGGTGGGGGAGTGGTTGGAACAGTTAGAGCTAGTGGCAGCTGCCACTGGGACGAGCCCACAAAACTTGTCAACCTGGTGACACGTCTCAAGGGCCAGGCCTTTGCATTTTATCGTTCGTGCAACACAAATAGAAGAAACCAGTACACAACTTTAGTGGAGGACCTGCGGAAGAGATTTACTCCCGTAGGATTCAAGCTATTCAAAGTAGCTTCTTCCATGACCGGAAAGTGTGGATACCTACGCCCAAGAATTGAAGGTTCTCTTCTACCAGGCCTATCGGCAAGCCACTTCGGAGACACAGGATATGGGGAGACCTGTTCTCACTAACCAGTTTGTCTCAGGACTACAATCTGAACTGAAGTCGACGTTGGCTAGAAAGGAGGGTAAATTCGAGCAGCTACTCACGTTTGCCAGGTTTGAGGAGGCCAAGATTCGGGACTTTCGCTCTGCCGGACACAGTCACCCGAGTGGATCTTTAAGATCTTCCAAGCAAAGTGGTGGAGCAGCCACACGCATGTGTGTGGTGACTCGGGACAGTCTTCAGACCCAACCACAACTCATGGACACTTCAACTCCAACTGCTACGAGTGCGGCAAAAAGGGCCACCGAGCGTGTGATTGTCCGGATCGCAGACGGCATAATAAAGGAACTCCAGGGAAGAACGAGAAACCAGCACAGCAGAAAAAATCTGTCTGCAGCATGATGATAACCAACACACACAAGATCAAGAACACTGCCGAATTGAGGAACTCCGTCAACAACTGCAAATAGCTGAGATGGAAATGGCCCTTCGGAAGAAGTCTGCCACCATGCACGGGATTGCCGCACCTGGGGAGGCAAATCCCACGACAGTACAGTTAGGGCCGGCGGTCTACTCAGAAGTGGAATTTGAAGGCTGCCATGTCAAGGCGCTTGTCGACACAGGATCCCCCGCCACAATTGTGTCATTGGACTGTGTTTTGTCCGCACTCGCTAAGGGACGTCCAAAGAGCCAAACCCCGTCGGAATGGGAGCGTGTGGTCAAACAGACTCTAAAGCCCCCCGAGGTGACACTTCGGAGCAATGAAGGAGGAGGGTTGGATATCATTGCACAACTTTCAGCTACAATCCAGAGTGGACAATACCGGAAGACTGCACTTCTTCAAGCCGTATGTTTGCCTGCCCATTATGCGTGCATTGTCCGAGCTCGAGTGGACCCACCAGCCTGTGAAGCCACTCCAATGTTAAAGCCAACCAAGGCCTCCCTAAACCAATGGGGTTGGGAGGCTGAGGAGGGGATCGTTGGTGCCAATGATGATCACACTACTACCCTTGTACTCCAGAACCCAGGCGACGTCACTGTCCATCTCTGTGAAGGAGACATCCTGGGCGAGCTGCAGCAAGTGTGTGAGGTCTCAGAGGGAGAAGGTGTCAAGGAGATGTCAGATCCGGTGGTGGGTCAGGTGTTGGTGGAAGGGGAGATAACGAAGTGCGAGTAGAGAAAATTCCACGAAATTTTAGAGTCTCAACGGACCACCGTTGAACTTGCTCAGCTCCGACAAGTGGTCGAGGACTATGAGGATATCTTCGCCAAGACAGACTTTGATCTAGGGGCAACCAGTATGGCTCAATACTCCATTAACACTGGCGACCATCCACCAATACGACAAGCACCAAGACGTGTTCCATTCCTGTTGTGCAAGAAGGTTGATGACATGGTCGACGAAATGCAGGACAAGGGAGTAATACAGCCATCTAAGAGCCCCTGGGCCAGTCCTGTAGTGCTGGTGACGAAAAAAGACGGCAGCACTCGATTTTGAGTTGATTACAGATGGCTAAACGCCATCACAAAGCTCTACGTATTTCCGTTGCCAAGAATTGATGACTCTCATACAAAATACTTCACAACATTGGATTTGGCTGCAGGGTATTGGCAAGTCCCAATGGAGCCCGAATCACAGGAAAAGACGGCGTTCTGTACTCCATCTGGCCTGTACAAGTTTCGCGTCATGCCTTTTGGCCTGTGCAATGCACCGCCCACCTTCCAGCATTTGATGGAGACGGTACTGGCTGGGTTGGCAAGGGACTGAAGCATGGTGTACCTCGACAACATGCTCGTCATTGGCAAGACATTCGACAACCATCTACAGAACCTGCGACAAGTGTTCCTTCGTCTACGAGGAGCTGGACTTTGTCTTAAGCCCAAGAAATGCCGATTGGCAATGCGGAGTGTAGAATACCTAGGCTACATTATGTCATCTGAAGGGATCTCACCAGATCAAACGAAAGTCACATCAGTTCCCGTCCCTACAGACCTGAAATCTCTCCGATACTTTGTGGGGTTGGCCTCTTACTACAGGAGGTTCATCCCTTCATTCTCCAGAATTGCTGCTCCCCTGTTCGAGCTCACTAAGAAGGATGTCCCATTCAAGTTGAGCAAGGAATGCCAGTCAGCAGTTGAGAAGCTCAAGGAGACTCTGACTAATGCTCCTGTTCTAGCATTCCCTCGGTTCGATACTGGATTTCAGCTGGAGACAGATGCCTCTGGACTTAGCTGTACTGACACAAACACAGCAAGATGGGACAACTCCACCAGTCACCTATGCTAGCCGTACGCTGCAGCACCATGAACGGAACGATGGAGTCACAGAACTGGAAGCTCTTGGTGTGGTTTGGGCCGTACATCACTTCAGACACTATCTCTACGTGTGGTGTTTTCACGGACCACGAAGCGCTCAAGACTCTTCTCAACACACCCCACCCGACAGGAAAGCTAGCACATTGGGGTCTTTCTCTCCAGGAACTGGATCTCCACACCCACTACAGCCCAGGAGCGAAGAATGGTAATGCAGATGCTCTGTCACGTTACCCAACCAAGACTCTAGATGTGGAGAGCGATGACATTGCTCCACAGGTCGCGGCTTTACAATCCGAGGTGGCTTCAGCAAAGGGCGGGGATCTCAGTTTGGCAACGAGACAGGACCAAGATCCTTGACTTGCACTGATGAAGCTATGTCTGGGGGAAAAGTGCTTACCTGCTGATGAGAAGTCTGCCCGGCGACTCGTATTGGAGCGCCCATTTTTATGTCTTCTGGAGAACATCCTTTAAAGATGGAACACTGTGACTGGTGCCACCAACCATAGACCGGAAGACACTGTTCCAAGAAGCCCACGCCGGCCAGTTTGGAGGAAACTTATGGGATCTGAAGGTGTACAGTCAGCTCTGCCGCCACTATTGGTGGAAGGAAATGCGGCGGGATGTTGCCCGTTGGTGTCAAGCCCGCGAGATCTGCCCTTCCAGAAGGGTTGGCATACCTATTCGACCTCCGCTGGTGCCACTACCTGTTGCTGGGGCCCTTGATCGTGTGGGGGTTGACGTGATTCAGTTCATTCGCTCCAATATGCCGTCGTCTCAGCTTACTACCTAACCAAATGGGTGGAAGTATTTGCCACCAAAGACCAAACTGCACTGACCATAGGACAGCTGTTAGTCACAGAAGTCATCAGTCGTCATGGAGTGCCTCGGCAGCTGCTCTCGGACAGAGGATCAGCCCTTTTGTCTTCACTGATACGGGATGTATGCAAACTCGTGGGAATACACAAAGTAAACACGACCGCCTACCATCCACAAGGAGATGGCTTAGTAAAACGCTTCAATCGAACACTCACGGAGATGCTATCCAAGACAGTTGAACAGAGTGGAAAAGATTGGGATGTCCGACGTCCATAGGTACTGTTTGAACGAGTGCTCAGGAGTCCACACAAGAATCTCCATTCCATCTCCTCTACGGCCGTGACCCATGTCTACCCACTCCAGAAGCCCTTGCTGTGCCAGCAACTCGGAGTCAGTTTGAAGTTGGAAGTTACCAGGAGGAGCTGGTTATCGGTTTGCAAGAGGCATGGGCGACTGCATGGAAAAATGTACAGAAGGCAAAGAAAAGGCAACAAAGAAACTACAATCGTCATGCCCAGCCTGTGTCACTCCGTGTGGGGGAACGCGTGTTCCTTCATGCAAGCAGGGTAAAGCACACAAGTTTGCTCGTCCATTTCGTGGTCCCCATAGGATTGTCAACCTCTACGACAATGGTGCGGATATTCGACCAGTGGATCGACCGCAACAAGCAACCACTCGAGTAGCCCTTAACAGATTGAGAAAATGCCCTAAAGGGTATCCTGGCCCCGACCAGGAGCTGATGTCAGGAGACGTTCCATCGGCTGGACCAGCAGTAGAGACAGACGCAAGAGACAAACCTGCAAAAGCACTGGATAAAGCCAGGGCAGGGTCTGAACCTCGGTCCAAGGGCCCGGAAAAGGTTACGGTTGTTGGAGGTGACGACTCTCATTCTAGCACCTCAAAAGACCCTTCACCAGTCGCCACGGAGACAAGCTCAAGGCAACAGACCACCTGGAGCAATAGTGCAAGGAGTGGAATCTGGGCTGGACGTCTTCGGAAGAGAAAAAAACAACAGGACTCTCGAGGACAAGCTCCCTAAGTGCGGGGAAGTGTCAGTTAGAGATTAGACCACAAATACAGTGCACATTTTCATGTTTGTCAGTCTATGAGTCGCTCTCTGTCGTGTATGTATACGTAAGTGGATGTACTCATGTCGGTAATCATGCTAACTTACATGTCTTACTGAATATCTGGTCAGCCGGAGCGCTACATATAAACCCAAAGCAGGATAATGGAGATTTCCCCCTTATCTGAGGGTGCTGCTACCGGTTAGGCTCTAGATTGACAAGGTAAACTACAAATGCAAGACCTAGAATAGGGAGGGTTGGGGCAGATTAGCTATTGGTATGCTGAGCACAGAGCTTCTATCTTGATGCCTGGAATTTTTACACCCATGATCCAGAGAAACGTCAAGGGAAATACACATTAGCACACCAAACTAATGTTTAAACAAACCGATGACAGAGTATTTACTGCATCACCATACGAAGTGACATCCGATATTGAAACTAAATATGCCTTTTTCTTTTTCTATATGACGTGTAAACACTCACTAGCACACAAAGTAATAGCTATGAGTGTTACATTCGTGACTGGCTTTTGTGTGGCATCCATATAATCTTAGTTCCAACGCCGTAAAACAAAAAACCATGAAATAAAAAATCTTAAGTATATATAATGTGAGTCATCATCATGCATGATTTCTACTGTTAGCAAGTTTTTGAGGCTATCACATTTACCATCTGACGGCTGCAACATGGCCTGAAAGAGTCTTGGTACATTCCCCAGTCTCAATGTTCCATACACGCAATGTTGAATCCCGAGAGCCACTCACTACTGCAATGTATTTCAAAATCCACTTTTGAACAACAGAGTAAGAAAACAATGTGTGCCCACATATCATACGTAGTGCACATCACAGTGCAAATACGTAGAGACTGGACATTATCAGCCATGCTATACACACAACACACATAAAAATGGTATCCTACCTAGGGGAATCAAGTTGATATCAAGGTCCTTTAGAAAATTGGTTGGGCTGATAATTTCCCAAAACTGGGAGTTAATATGTGAAACTGGATAGTCTACAGGGGCATCATTGAGTGCAGAAACATTTTACTGCAAAAACAATGAGGTTGTGATTTTGCAGCCATCTTTACTAAGTAGGCTCCCAGATTTAATCCAAAGTAAACACCCAATTATCTTGCTATGCTGCAAAGTGCGGCGGAAAACTGTGAACTATACACATACCAGGAAAGCTGTGAAAAAGGAAAAAAATGTTGTTCCCTGGGTTTCCCATGTGGTATGTAAAGGTTAGGGCTAAAAATTGTAGAATGTAAACAACTTTAGTGCTGCTCTTCATTGGGATCCTACAAGGGTATTTTTCAACAATGGTTTCTAACAACAGAGTTTGAAAAGTTCCTATTCCCTTACTTAATGTGCAGTATTATATTGCTTTAAATATGAATATAAATGCTGATTAAAAGTATACCGACATTCCCGTGCATTGCCATGCACCTAACTGTTGAAGTATGTCCTTGTAGAACATAGTTACAGGATCCTGTGTCTGCATTCCAAACCTACAAAAGTGTTGTGCCACAAAAGTAATACATCATCATGTTGTAGTCAAAGAACAGTGGTGTAGTGAACGAGCATAAACATTTCTTTTAGGTAACATAAGTTTTAAAAAGTCAACGCCTTCATAATGAAAAGCAATAAAGTGCAAACCCTCGGCAAAAACTCGCGCGAGTTAGAACTACATTGCATTACCATACGCATGCGCAGATTGCTATTTTATGGGCTGGGCCACGCTGTCAATGTACACTGAGTTTCTCGCGGATGGCTGGCGCTGAGAGTCTGACAAGACTGCATAGGTAGATAGCGTTCTAGGCATTGCGGGATTCGATGCTTGTGCTCTGTCATAACTTCCTATGCATCCACGTGCACAACACGGGCTGACTAGTCGAGCAATATGTCCCGTTTGTTGCACGTAGTAGCAGAAAACGGGGTAACAGACACACACAGACAAAGTACTGTAACCCTCACTGTGCATGCACGCCAAGGGTTAAGCATGCATGAGTCAGTGCAGCACACTTAGAGGCAAGTGGAAGTAAAAAACGATGTTTCCAAAATCATGAACTGATCAGCCGTTAAAAGGTGCTTGAACGGAGAGATGGCGAAACAGGAACAGGGATACACCGTACACCGTTCATTCATTCACCCGTTCAACAATGTGTACGTTTTCTGGGTCATGGCCAAAAGCAGCGAAGGGCGCATTAACCCAGCATAAGCTTTGCAAAAGTCAACGGCATCGAAAGTCCAAAAAGGACTGCTTGGATTTCAGTGCTAAAGTTCTTCCGTGGTGACAGTGTTCTGCATTCACTGCAGATTTTTAAATCACGAATGTGAACGGTCAACAGAGGAGCAGTGGAACGAATTTCCAGCAGAAATGGTGAATGGTGCAGCAGTGAACTGAACAGTTGAATGGTGAACATTTTTGGAAACATACTTGACTTTCATTGCACATATATTTGATACGATCTGGTTAGATACTGTTGAATTGAGGGAGATGACACTGAGCCAAACAATGAAATAGTATAAAAAGCAAAGGAACAGGACAGGGATGACGTAGTTCATGCGATGCAGTAGTACAATGGATTATTGTTACGCACATACTTCAGACTCACATTGCTCGCTCATTTAAATTTTCCTCCACACAAGCCCCAAATTATTGTCGTCAATGTTACACACAACATAACTTTGTTAAATGAATGATGTAATAGTGTGCGGACAATTTCTGTAGTGCAAAACTTGTTAGTTGAATGAACATGAAAGCCTTAGACTTTACACAATGCAGTGGCTATTACTACCTGTCTCATGTGATAAATGGGTCATAGCTGCTCATGATACGAGGAGGACACTCATACTTCGCCAAAATAATAGGGCTTGTGTGGAGGAAAATTTACATCAGCAAGCAATGTCATTTTGAGATATGTACGTAATTGCACTACTGCATCATACACACTAGGTCATCCCTGTCTTGTTTCCTTGTTTTTTTTACAATCACTGCATTTTTATTTACTTGTCTCCTTTCCTTTTTTTTCTGCATTCGCATTGTGCCACAATGTCACAATGCCCATACATCAGTGGCCTTAGTGTTGGCAAACCCAGCAATGTAGCCACACACTTCGATTTATAAAGTTTTTTGCCTGAGCCTGCTTGTTATTGTTTACAATGTTTGTTCTAACGAACTCGTATCACACTAAATCCGTGTACATAGCTGGAGGACCTTGCATGAGCTAGTTAGGCCACACACTATTTACGAGTTTCAATAGCCAGAGGCTGTTTGTTGTAAGTAACAAACTTGTAATTTAATACATGGGTGTACCAAGTTTCTTAGTTAAAGGACCTTGCATAAGCAAGTTACAGGCACAAAGAAAAGCACTGAAGTGCAAACCCTCGGCGAACTGGGCATGCGCAGTACCGCTAATGGATGGACCCGCAGTCTCTCGCTAGTAGCTCGCGGAGAGTCTGACACGGGCTAGCTATGGTAGTAGATAGCATGCGGGAGTCGATACACGCCATTCGCTGTGGCCTCCAAGGTACACAGAGCAAGCGGATCAGGTCGGGGTTTTCAGGCTCGTGTAATTCTGAAGCCGCTGGTATCGCTAATGGGCCGCTTCGTAGCCTGTAGTGCCAGAATAAGCGTCGACACACACACAGACAGACAGACAGACAGACAGTCAAACCAACTACAGTAACCCTCGCTGCGCATGCGCGCCGAGGGTTAATTATCATTTACGGGTTTCGATTGCCTGAGGCTGTTTGTTGTTGTTTAAAAACTTGGAATGTTTACATTCTAATGATGGGTTGCATATATGCTCAAAGTTATATCAGTCTAGGCATTGGCAATTGCAAGTTCGCACACTTTAGTGGTCTCAATCTGTACTGTTTACAAGAAAATCAATAAGACGTTGCACACTGGGTAATGGAATTCAATCGGTGTACAAAGTTTCATCTCAATACCATATGTGTTTTGGGATATGCTTGTCGAACCTTAATGTGATAACAAAAAGATGAATCATTGACTAATTCTCTGATTTACATCACGGATAAGACAACTCAGAAGTAGGATCTGATCTAAATTGAAAGTGTAATTACAGAAAGGCTCAGTCCACGTAGTGTGTGCCAGCTATTCTGGATTATATGAGAAATGTGAGGTCGAACTTATCAACTCTGCTATTGGCCCAAAATCCTAGCTAATAGTTTTTACCCAGGGTTTCACCCTAGCCACCATGCTGAAACCCATATACGGTTCATAATTATGTTAGACGTATTTTGGGGCACAAATGATCCTATAAAAGGTCCCCGCTTATATGGCCTCTTCGGCCTTTTTATAGTGAATCTTGTCTGTCCAAATGCGCCCACCACGGTGGATAAATTGGTCCCAGTGGGCCTCTGGCCCTTGCTGTGGGAGAAACATATCGGGTGTGGATTGTGTGGGAAGTTGATTTGTTCTACCTAACCTTCCTCATATAGCTAGCACCCACTACTTGGGCTGAGCCATTCTGTTCAGAAGGCTTGGTCTCCATATAAACTGTAGTAGTTTGTAGTTAATTTGATCCCCTGTTGGACAGCACTGCTGATCCAAACACACTCGATCGAATCGGCTTGTAATAAAACTCTGTGAAAACAGACTCCGAACTCCAGTCAGCTGCTTTCAGGATATCTGCCATAGTGACACCCGCATTGGTAGCGGCCCCTCACTGAATGGGCTTTGAATATGCCTGTGTCGATACCTGCTTTCTCTAGCAACGACTTTAGCCATCTGGCCAACGTTGAGAAGCTAACCGGCTTGTGTGGTTTTACCACGGCCAGGAACAATCTTGTTCACTCAACATCGTTCTGCGAATGGAGACTCGCTGTTTTCTCCTCGTACACTCTCAGTGTCTCCTTTGGGCACAAGAGTTGGTCCTCAAAAGCCGGAAGGAAGAATTCTGCTCTCGGCTTCCCAGCCCTCGCCTGTTTGGCAAGGCCACTATCTTGGAATGTTACCCCCTCCGGGTTAATCCGCCTGAACCTCAAGTCTAGCTTTGCCAGTTCAGCAGACCTGGAGCATAAACAGCCAGGTCTTTTAGTGGGAGGGTCCCTGATGGTCCTAGGGACACCAGAAAATCCAAAAACTTAAGACACATCCCATCGTGGCTGGGGAGGATGATGGTTGAATGACACCAAGGGGTGCTGGCCCACCTCATAACTATCAACTCTTTCGTACAATGATGAGATAGCCAAGCGGTGGACATTCACGGTGCGATACTGATAGCCTTCCTTGAATAAGAAAATGGTATGTCAAGAATGCTTTGAAAATGAATAGCTAATGAGGTTAATTTTGGGGTAAGACACCTACACACAGGTCTCTTAGTGATAAGACACCTGTGGTTAGGTGGCTTACTTCTAACTAAGACCCTTCCGTTTACAGTACGCGCAGACCGAATTCTTCCTTCCGGGCTATCGTCGAAACGCCGCCGCTAATAGTCAGTACTTACCAGCATCGGCGCAATCGTGGATTGCGCCCGGTATCGGCTTGGGAGAACTCGCCTCCGCGGTGCTATCCTCAAAGAGCAGCTACCAACCAATGTTGAACGCTGACGAGCGACAGAGAACCGTACGGCTATCCATCATTTTCTTAACAACTAAGACGACAAATTCTCATGCCTTCGTGCTTCTGCAGCCCGCGTGGTCGGCTGAATGACGCAATAGAAACCTCAGCTCCGCCTCGGTTACTATTGCGTCATTCCAACCTCCCACGCGGGCTTTAGAACCACGAAGACACTTGAATTTGCCATCTTACCTATACTAGGTGAGCGAGAAAATTCACCACTTCACTGATAGGACCCGAAACGGGATCTGAACTCCGTCCACTACACCAGATGATCGCACTTTCTGAAGAGGGAGTCATAAAACCGGGAAGACTTCTATCTCCACGACGCAAGGAGCAATTCTGTGCCCTCTTGCGAAAATTCCTTATCCTGGTAACGTCGCCAGGACACTTTCTGGGTGTGTTGGGATGATCAGGTCTGCCCTCTGAGGGAGGAGGATTTGTTCCACCAGGGACTCCAACAACATCGGGAACCATGGTCGGCTCTTCCATACTGGGGCAACCAGGACTAGCGAGATCTTCTGCTGGCAGACTCTGTTCAGGACTCTCCCCACAGGGGTGGGGGGTTGGAATACGTCTTCCCCTGGAGTTGTGTCCAGTCCTGACTGAAAGCATCTAGAGCCTCTGCCTCTGGGTCTGGTCTCCAGCTGAAGAATCTCTGCAGCTGGGTAGTCAGCCTGGATGCAAAAAGGTTTACCACCAGGGGGCCCAGCACTGCTGGATCTGGAGGAATGCCTGAGGGTGGAGCATCCAATCCAAGCGATCCTTCATCACTCGAGACTCCTCATCGGCTACAGTGTTCAGCACTCCCGGGCGGTGCTTTGAACTTAGGGTTATCCCCTGTTCGTGCACCATAGCCATAGGTCTCTGACGATGGCGTTTAGTTTCGGGGAGACTGTCCCGCCGAGCTTGTTCATGTAG